CCTCTCTTCCTCTCTTCCTCTCTTCCTCTCCCTCTCTTTTTCTTTCTGTCTCTCTTTCTCTTTCTCTTTTTCTCTTTCTCTCTTTTTGTCTTTTTGAAACAGGGCCTCACTGTGCAGTTCAGGCTGGCCTTGAGCTTACTTTGTAGCCCATTCTGGTCTTGAACTTGCAACGGATCCTCTTGCCTCAGCCTCCTGAGTACTGGGATTACAGGTGTGTGCTACCACACCCAGCTCTGGATGGTTTTCTGTTTTCATTTACATCTTTTATCTTTTATAGCTTTGCTCTGCTTATTTTGGGTCCATTTTATTTTTCTATTTTGTTTTTTTTTGGTACCAGGAATTGAACTCAGGACCTTGTGCTTGCCAGGCAGACACTTAGGACACTGAGCTATATCCCTGGCCCTTTATTTTTCTAGTATTTCAAATTGTATACAGTATTCCCTTTAAAATATTTCAAACATATATAGAAATCGCATACATAAGTGTTGTTCCGTGTGATGTTGTGATAAATGTGTGTATTGTATAAATGTTCAGATCAAGTAAACATACCCATCTCCTCAAACAGTTGTCATTTCCTTATGGTGAAAACATTCAGAAACCTGCTAAGGCTGTGTAAGGTGGTACATGCCTAGAGAATCAAAACCAGTTTGAGGCCAGCGTGGGCTAAGGATTGCAGGCTAGTGAGTTGAAGGCTATCCTGATCTACATAGTGAGATCCGGTCTCAAAAAATTCCAAAATGAAACCCCTATAGGGCTGGGGGTGTAGCTCGTTGGTAGGAGCCATGTGAGGTTCTAAATTCAATCGTGGTTATCTGTATCTAGTTGTTGGAAAGTCGTGCATTCTTTTTCTCTTCTGGAGTTACCTATACTTTTTTTTGGGTACCGGGAATTGAACTCAGGATCTCGCACTTGGCAGGTAGGCGGTGTGCCGCTGAGATATATCCCTGGCTCCTACCCATACATTTTTAACACATTTAAACTGTCACTTCTCTGTTCTTTTCTACAATTAATTGCAATCTTTATCTTTTCTTCCTTTTCCCAATAAGACAGAAGTGCTGCTTGCTTTCATTTCTCCTTTCTCTTCCTTTTCGACTTCCTATGTTGAAATCATGTAAGTATTTTAGTTCCAGATTGCTTGTTTTTCTAAAAGTTGGCATGTACTGGTTCCTGTGCTTATAGCTCATGGATAAAACAGTTTCTTAGTTTCTTATAGCTCTTGGGTGTTCTAAAACTATGTTGGTATGCATCTACTAATTATTTCACAAAAGGTTGTTTTTTTGTTGTTGTTGTTTTGTTTTTGCCACTACTATAGATTGAACACAGCCTTACACATGTTAGTTAGGCAAGTTCTCTACCGTGGAGCTATACCCCCAGCCATAGAGAAGGTCTTTGAGTAGTAAAAGTTAAGTGCTTTTGTGTTTGAAGATTTTTTTCCCCATTTTTACCTGAAAACTGGTTTGGATGAATAAAAGTTTCTAAATTTTTTCCTTATAACTTGGAGGCCCGTTCTCCATTTTCTTTTTTCTTCCATTTTCTTCTAGCATTTCTATTGCTGATGAAAAATCTACTGTTTACTTTTATGTAGTTTATACATCTTTGGAGGAATTGAGGTTTTCCTCAAGATTTCCTGAATTTCAGTAGGATACATCTAGGCATTGATGGCAAACCTATGGCACCTCTGCCGCAATGGGCTGTTTGGGTCATTGAAAGCTCTAAAAGGTTTGCCATTACTGGTGTAGGTTTTCCCTTTCTCCACTAATTGATTCTGTTTAACACTTAGATTTTCACCTTATAATTCCTGTCCTCCCTCTGCGACTGGAAGTTTATAGAAGTCACTTAAGGATAGACGGTGGGGTTCCTGGTTCTGTATTCTGTCATTTCCTTCATATTTGGAAGGCAGTATGGGGGAATTTTTTAGTTTTATTTTCCATTTTGCTTTTAAACATACCTGTGGAGTTTTTCTTTTGGCAGCAATTTTTTTCTCTTTTATAAAAGCATGGTTTTTTTTTTTTGAGTCAGGTCACACCGTGTAATCTAGGCTGGGCTTGAACTTGATCTGTAGCTCAGGCTGGCCTGGAACACACACTATCTTCTTGCCTTAGTTTAGGATTACAGGTGTGTGCCATCTGCACCTGGCTCTAAAAGTATGTTTATGGAGGTATAATTTACATATAGTAAACTGTATCCAGTGTACAAATCTATCCATTTTGATGGGGACACACACACTTGTGTGTACACCATCCCCAAACTCTTGACAACCAAAATTTGTGTTACCACAGGAAGTGTTTCTCTGTGCAGTCCATTCTTCTCTCCCCAGCCTATGATGTGCTTGCTTTTAGGGGCAGAAGGGATTAGTTTGCATTTTCTAGAGTTTCCTGTGCATGGATTCATATAGTATGTAGCCTTTTGGGCAAAACTTTTACTCAGCCTGTGTTTGAGATTCATGCATGTGACATGTACAATAGTTTGTCTTTTTTGGGTAGTGAACAATAACATGGGAGAAACTAATTTAAATTTCACAAGTATTGGGTTAATAATTCTCAGTTATTGTAGGCTGATCAGGCCTGCAGTCTCCCAAATGAATGGACAGCTAAGGTTTAAATAAATGAGACAATTGGAATGATTATAGGGCTCCAGCAGGGTCCAGATCTCTTATAAGATTTAAGATTCTTTGGGTTAAGACCAAGACTTCCCTGGGCTGCCCATATTTATTAGGTTTTCAAATAAAGGAGGGTGATATTGGAGAAAATGCAGGAAGCTGGGCAGGACTGGGAAAGCCTTTACAGAATTCTCCAAATAGCACTTACATTAATTTAGGAGAACTGTTAACTCCAGGAAGGCCTTCACTGCAGGGGTGAGATTCCTGCAGCTACAGTCTCCTATTATTTAATTGGAGTTGGAGCCCTACCTGTGGCCTTATCTTGTCCTTTGAGGTGTCCTGGCTTCATCCACCATTACAGGCCTCAGTAGCGACCAGTGACATACAAGTAAACATGGAAAACCAATTGGTTAATACAAGTCCTGCTCAGAACTACTTTATAGTGGTCTCCATCACACAAGTTTTACACATACTCTGGTATATTTAGTTCCATATAATTTTTATCACTTAATTTGCTGATTTTTTTCTGTATGGTATGTTTTCATGAGCGCAGTCTCTGTCATTCATTCGTTGACAGGGGTCTCCCTGTGTAGTTCAAGCTGGCCTTGAATTCACTCTTTAAGCTAGCCTTGAACTCTTGGCGATCTTCCTGCCTCAGCCTACTGAGTGCTGGGATTACAGGCGTGCACCACCATACCCAACTAGATCTCATTTTATATTTGAGTACATTTATGATTGTCCTAGTTCTTGCAACTCTTCAGATATTTAGTTCTCATTTTCATGGAGTTCATTTCTCTTTTGTAAGTAGTTCTAGTTTATACAGTGATTATGTCTGATTTGAGAATTGCTGTTCTGGTAGTGGGTATAGATACTGTTAGCCAGTCTGTCAGAATGAACTGTAAGGGAGAGATGGGGTATGTGTGCCCAGACATGAGGCTCTCCCTTCCTTGTGGGTACAGCGGCCATCTGATGTCATTCTGATTATGGGGTCCTGTGCCTGGGCTCGGTAAAGAGTTTGCCTCTGAGAGGGTGGAGGTGGGGAGTGTTCTTGGTAGAGGGAAGTGGGTGTCCTATCCAGATGCACTAAAGAAATTTCTGTACCATTAACCTGGCTTGCTACTGTTTTCTCCTGGCAGCCACCTCTGTCAGCAGCTATGTACTCTCCTGCCTTTGTAGCTGCTTCCAATCTTAATAGCATTCCTATTGGGGGGTTCTGGACAGATACTGCCTCTATCAACCTAGTTTTCTTGGTAGTGTTACTTCTTGTGTCCCAGAATTAGTTCAGAAAATAATGTATTAGTAAATCTATATTTTTAGTCATTCTAGGATTTAGAGTGGGAGGGAAAGGCGCATGTGTTGTGGTCCTTTGGATTCTGTTTCTTAAAGCCATTTGTTCTGAGGGAGTTTTTGGCCATTGAAACCTTTTAATTTTAGGATACCAGGCTTTAAGAGAGAAATTCAACCAGTGGCACTTGTTAGTTGGGTTAGGAATTTCCTTTTTCTCTAGTTTGAGTAGTAAACCAGAACTCTAAAGTCCTAGCGTTTCTTTTTTAAGCCAGTGGGAAGGGTGAAGATTTTCATTCTTAAGTCACAGTTTTGCAGAATTGAGACTTAGGGTTAGTTATTTAAAAAGAAGAAGAGAAAAAAAAAAAAAAAAAAGGAAAAAACAAAAAAACCCACCCCAAACCAAAACCATCCTATATAGTACAGTTTGGACTTGTCTGTTCTGGAAAGTTAGGTTGGTTCTATACTTGGGTATTTTTCTTTTTGATCTTTGTCCTAGTTTTTTTCCAAATTGGAATCAAATTTCTTCTTCCAAAGATCTTTTTGTTTAGAATTACAGTTTTGAAACCATAGAGTATGAAATGAGTTGCCAATCTAGTAAGTGTAAACTTGGTAGAAAAAAAGCAGTTTTGACTTTTTTCTCTCTCTCATTTAGTTTTTCCATGGTTTGGCTTGGATATTGGTGGAACTCTGGTCAAACTGGTTTATTTTGAACCCAAAGACATCACTGCTGAAGAAGAAGAGGAAGAAGTGGAGAGTCTTAAAAGCATCCGGAAGTACCTGACCTCCAATGTGGCATACGGGTCCACGGGCATTCGGGATGTGCACCTTGAGCTGAAGGACCTGACTCTGTGTGGACGCAAAGGCAATCTGCACTTTATACGCTTTCCCACTCATGACATGCCTGCTTTTATTCAAATGGGCAGAGATAAAAACTTCTCGAGTCTCCACACGGTCTTTTGTGCCACTGGAGGTGGAGCATACAAATTTGAGCAGGATTTTCTCACAGTATGCATTTTTTAGCTTATATACAATTTATGGTAATTTCATTGTTAAAAATAATGCCAATTGCAAGTGGTAGAGTAATTTCTAATGGAACTTGAATTTTCTTGAGTGAAATGAAGATTGACTATAAATTAGTGACATTCGGGAGTTAGCCATCTAGAGATAGTTGTGTAGTTTGGTTTTTGTCTCGTCAAAATGTATGGAAAATTCACAACTTCACAAAACAGCATTTTGTTGATTTTTAGTAAGAAAACTTAGTGAGTCTGGGATAAACAGAGTAGAAAACCTGTCTGTGAGGAATAACATTAAGTCTTGAACAGGGAGATTAAAAAAACTTAAAAATCACATCATGAAATATTTTTAGTTTCTTCTACTTATTTTCTCCACTCCCTCCTCTGTTCACCAGTTATAAAAATAAGGAACTCTGCGGGGGAAGTGATGTTTTTAGGGCCAAGGGCTATTTGAGGTGGTTGACACGGCAGAGCCCTCCTCCCTGAAGGCCTGTGATAGTGTTCGTGCTGCACTTGTTAACCTTGTCTCTTCACTACCTCTGGCCTAGAAGGTGGGGCCCCGAGGACTTGATGCTGTTTCAAATTCTGTGAACGCTGAGCAAGGTCTTTGCGAGTGGCTATGTGAGAGGTGCAAGCACTGACCTGTGAATTGGCCAACACCCTCACTGGCAAGGGTGCCTATAGGCTTAAAATGTCCGCAGTGATACGTTTTTCATGTCACCAAATGACCAAAAGAGATTCTGCCTTTATCTGTGTTATCCTCTACATGTCTTGCATTTCCCTGTGTATCATATGGTTTCTTTCTCTGTCCTGTGTCTCATGACTTTTTTTGTAAGTGGCCATCGTAATCATAATATTGAATTGACTTGAGTTTTTAAATTGATAATTAAGATTTATTTACAGTTTTGTACCTTTTGTATATGTGATAATATATAACATGACGTTTTTTACTTTTATAATAAAAGATTTACAACTTGTAACTTTTTTATAATTAAGAGGGCACCTAGGCCCAGCATGGTGTAGTGCATGCCTGTAACCCTAGTACTGGAGGATTGCCATGAGTTCAAGGCCAGCCTGAACTGCATAGCAAGACCCTGTCTTAAAAAAAAGGGTACCTTCATGTAGTGGGAGATAGGACCTTGTAAGAATAACATTTAGTAAGACAATGATGTACTACTCACCAGACATGCTTTGAGCTGAACATCATTTAGACGTAGAATCTTTCTGGCTGATGGGTCGTGCACTGAAAAGTGGAGTAACACTTTCTTATGATTACTGGTGTCATTACCAAACTTATAGGTTCTTTCAGTCATTTCACTTAAGCCTTTCAACACCTGTATATGACAGTCAGGACAGTCTCTGTCATAAATAACTCAAGGCCTAGAGAAGTTAAATAATCTAGTTAACTGTAGGCAGCTGGTCAGTTGTGAAGCTGACCAGCTTGGTTTCCCTCAAGATCAGCCTTTGGGAAGCGAAGTTGTGAGCTGAGGTTTGCTGATGGGCTGGCCACATCACCCAGTACAGTACAGGAGAGGCTGCTTGAGAGTACCCCTATACCAAGGACATTATCCAGGAGATAATGTAGAATGATGGGCTTGTTCGACCATCTTCTTTTTAATGTGCTGGGAATTGAACTCATGACCTTGTACATGCAACACCCCATGCCATTATGGACTTCCTTCTAAATGTGATCATTAGAGATAATTCATTAAGTACCCATTTTTGGATATTATAAATTAAATTACCAGAACCACAGTAAACAGTCATGTCCACCTCTCTGAAGTACTGAAGTATTTCATTGATTAGTAGCGTCACTCATCTCCCTGCCCTGTGTCCTGGAAGTGTGACCATTTGAAATTCTCTCAGCCAGAGTTGATCATAGCAGAATGAATAGGTACCAGTAAAAAGAAAGCTAATGGCTAATATGTGGTAATTGGTGATTATAATATGCCATGTACTTTCCATGCATCGTTCATTTCATATTACAGTGAGTTTTGTTTTTTACCACAGGGTCTCACTTTACTTCAGTTTTTTTTTTTTTTTTGGTACCAGGAATCGAACTTAGGACCTTGCGCTTGCCAGGTAGGCGCTTGTGCTGCTGAGCTATATCCCCAGCCCTTCACTCTACTTCAGGCAGACCTTGGACTCATTATATAGTCCAGGCTGGCCTCGAACTCAAGGTCATCTTCCTGCCTCAGCCTCCCAAGTGCTAGGATTACAGGCATGCACCACTACTGGCCACAATGAGTTATTTAAATCTTCATTTTATGGAGAAGGAAATGGAATCTCAGATGGTTGACATGAATTATTTCATAAGGTTTTATCGTCAGTCTTCGTTTGGATTTTTCTTAGTTGCTGATTTCTGATGGGTTCTTTTCCACTTGTAAGACAGGGGAGATGGCAGGAGCGGGTTCTTGTTCTTTCTGGAAGCCTCCTAGTGGATCATGGATCATAATTCATAGGTAGGGGAGAAAAACCTCTCTATTTCTAGGAATTTATAGATTACCCTTTGCAAAATACTTGGAAGCCATACAAGCTATTAAGAGGTTCAGTATGGCGTACTAACTTGCAGAGTGGGTGTGAACTGGACTTTGTTATCAAAAATTGGGTTAAATAACCCTTAGTTATTGCAGGCTGATCAGGCGCGCAATCTCCCAAGTGAGTGGACAGCAAAGGCTTAAATAAATGAGACAATGGAAATGATTTCAGGGCTCCAGGAGGGACTAACTCTCTTATAGCTTCAGTATTCTCCGAGTTTAGCCAAAGACTTCCTTGGGTGGCCCGTATTTATTTGGTTTTCAAACAAAGGAGGAGGATACTCAAGAAAACGCAGGAATCTCGCAGGACTTTGGAAGAATTTTCCCAAGTAGTAAATTATGTCAATCAGGAGAAGTACCTTATCTTTAGGTTGGTATTTATTGTAGGAGTGTGGAGACTGCAACTGCGGTCTCCTTCTAGTTTAATTGGGGTTGGAGCCAAACGTCTTCAGCTGTGGCCTTATCTTGTCAGACAAGGTGCCAAAGCTTCAGACAACTCACAAGTAAACACGGAAAGCCAATTGGTTAATATTAAATCCTGCTTAGAGCCACTTTGTAGTGGTCCCCAACACTTTGTATATTAAGAATTGGTTCTGAGGCTGTTAGGGTTTCTCCTTCATATGCACTTAGTATTTTGAAGTGCTGTCCTTAAAAATTGTTGGAAGTGAAATGCCTCTCAGATCTTGTTTATGCTAAGTATGGTGCTACACAGTTACAATACCAGTACTCTGTCGGGGCTGAGGCAGGAGGATCCCAAGTTGGATCCCAGGCTGGGCAACTTAGTGGGGGTAAGTACAACTTCATTGCAAAATAAAAAAAATAAGTCTGGGGATGTAGCTCTGTGTGAAGGTCCTGGGTTCACTCTCAATTACCACAAAACCCTGTTTGTGCATTAGAAGTGACTAATAATAAATAACAGTGAAACATTTTCAAAGTACTGAGTTTCTTAGTGTGAATCAGATTTTTTTAATTTTGAGCTTGCTTTTGGTGCTAACTTCATAGTCTGAGTAATTTGGGTTAGTGAAATTACCGGTGGACTTAGTCATTAAATGTGTTAGGTTGAGGTTCATTCAAAATGATAGTACACAGGACATTTTAGCATAATATGAATGTGGGGAGGAGAAAAGGAGAAATTGATTTGACAGTATCAGAAAACTACTGCGATTTGAGTACACCACCAGAGTACAATGGTTTCGCTTAGAAAATTCTGGCATTTGGAAATACAGGTGTCAGGAAGGCATGAAATTCATCTTGATAGGGAGTGGCAGATGAACCCACAGGACTTGGGTTTGGTCAAAGGCATACAGTATTAATTAGGGACTAATTAAATTAGGGATTCATTTGAAGTTACTAGTAACATTTCTTTCTTCCATAGTGGACGGAAATAAATTAAATGTAAGTGTGACCAAATGGGAGTCAGAATTAAAGAGGGAGAATTTTTAGGGCCAAACTTGGAACAGCTTTGGGAGTTGAGGCCTGGTTGACTTTGTCAGGCACATTGAGTATATGTGCTTGTAGACATCCCAACAGGTTGGAAGTTCATAGAGGCAGAACTGCCGGTCTGTATCATCTCTCCAAAGTCGCTACTGTGAAAAATTATGTATCTTAAATTTTTCTGAGAATGACTATGTTTGACAGTCATGTGTAGATATAAATACGTTTTTAAAAATAGGCAAATTAAGCCCAGCATAGTGGCACATGTTTGTAACCCTAGTACTTGGGAGGCTGAGGCAGGAGGATTGCTGTGATTTTGAGCCTGGACTGCATAGTGACACCCTGTCTCAAAACAAAACAAAACAAAAAATAAAAAAAACTCAAATTGAGTTGGATATGGTAGCACATGCCTCTAATCCAAGCATTCTAGAAGGCTGTGCAAAAGCATTAGGCTTAATCCCCAATACCACCACCAGAATGAATGAATGAATGAATGAATAAGTAGGGTCATATTTTATAAAATGGTTTCAGCTTGCTTGTTTTGACTAATTATGTCTTGAGCCTCTTTCCACTTTAGTTCATATAGATCTCCTTCATTTTTAATTGCTATATTGCACTCTATATATCATGACTAATAACCTTACCATTTCTTTATTATTTTAAAATAATTAAGTTGATCAGAATGGTTTAAATTTTGATGCTGCTCACTCAGGAGGCTGAGGCAGGAGGATCGTTGAGAGTTTGAGACTAGCTCACTACAAAGTGAGCTTAAGGCCAGCCTGAACTGCATAGCAAGACCCTGTCTCAAAAAAGATCAAAAAAAAAAAAAAAAAAAAAAGATAAATTTTGACGGTGCTGACCCTTGCCTTTGCAAGAGGCTGTCGCCAGCGTAGGGAATGGAAAACCTTCCCTGCTAATTGGGTGCTTGCAGCCCTTTGGCTTCTGGTTGTTAAGTAGCAAGTGTGGCTTCTTTCAGTACCCCCTCACCACCTTGAAGATAGTCTTCTGGAAAGCAGATGTCAAGAGTCTTTCTGGCTCCTGCCATGTGTCATCAGCTGCTTTCTGGTAAAGCCATGGCCCCAGCTGCACACCTGCCTCAGTGTTCCTGTGATGAGAGATCTTTTTTCTAGTTGGTAAATCTGTAAGTCCTCACTTGTTGTTTTTGACATTCATCTCTGAATGCCACAGTGGTTTATATGTAGTGTCTGTTTGGGTCTGTGGGAGTAGGAATCTGTCTTGGGAGTCTGTCCCCGTGTTGGTTGTCCTCAGATCTGTTCTATAAAAGCATACACACAGTAGACAGCTCTGGGTGTGCTTTATGGTTTGTTTAATGTATGATTGGTTTTTCAAGTGAATTGTAAAAATTTCTGCTGGGTTTTAAAGTCTAAATATATTCTTATTTCATTTCAGATAGGTGATCTTCAGCTTTGCAAACTGGACGAACTAGATTGCTTAATAAAAGGAATTTTATACATTGACTCAGTTGGATTCAATGGGCGGTCACAGTGCTACTACTTTGAAAATCCTGCTGATTCTGAAAAATGTCAGAAGTTGCCATTTGAATTGAAAAATCCATACCCCCTGCTTCTGGTGAACATTGGCTCAGGAGTTAGCATTTTAGCAGTATATTCCAAAGATAATTACAAGAGGGTCACTGGTACTAGGTAAGTCTTATATGAGTCATTGTTTATTCTTAGTAGCATAAAAAATTACCTGAATTTTCTAGGTATTACACATAACAGTACTCTTTTTTCTTTTTTTTTTTTTTTTTACATAACAGTACTCTTAAGAGCTTGTTAAAGTTACATGAAAGATTTGCTTTTTCTGGGATTAGGCAAAACACGTTTTTCTTTGAAAGTTCTGATTTGATCACCTACTTCAATATCTTCTGTTTAGGAGTTCATTACCAAAGTTATTTGATAAAATATTACATTAACAGACTTGCTGAGCCCATAGTTTTGTGCTCAAATAATTTGTGGTATGCATTTATAAAGTAATAAAGCTACTAGCTAGTGCTATATAATTGAGGCTGGCCTTAAACTCACTAGATAGCTCAGGACTGCCTCAGCCTTCTTAGTGCTGAAATTAGTCATGTACCCAGCTGGTCCTAGGTAGTATCTTATAAGAGAAGGCAAGGGAAGATCCTAGCTTTGAAACCTGTAGATTTTATACATTTACACATAAATGTGCTCCCGCATGCATGGATGGACACATAGCCAGGGAATGGTATGAGATGCAGAAGTTGAGGGTACTGATGAATAGAAAGATGATCAGAGGACGGTAATCTCAAAAGGGAGGATTAAATGGAGGAAGGGAATGAGTATGTTTTGGTTTAAGAATTAGAAGTCACTTAAAGAAAAATAGGGATTTGGGGTTTGGGATAAACAAGTTTTAACATGTGTGAGCTAAAGAATGGAAATAATTATTTTTGGGAGGCAGCAGATGGAAGTGGGGGTGGTGTATGAGCCAGAGCTGTAAGGTGCTTGAGAAGATGTCAGGGATACACTTGAGGGGGAGAGGGTGCAGTATGAGCGCCCCTCAGGGCTGTCGGGCTGATCTGACCCTGAGGGGCTTGTGTCGGGCAGCGCCCAGACTGCACCCAGCACACTGGCAGAAAGGTGAGCCTTGAGCTTTTTGGCTTTGCTTATTGGCTCACAAAAATATGTACATAAATATGCTTATTGGCGTACCTGAGGTACTTGAGTTTATCTTTTTGCAGACTTGTGTCTTACTAGTGACACCTGCATGATAGTCTTGGGAAGAATGGATTGATACATGATTGTACCTTGGGGGTTCATAGATCTTACTTTTATGTTTTTTAAAAACAGTGTTATAACATTGCATTGCTTGTTTTTAATCACAGTCTTGGAGGAGGAACTTTTTTTGGTCTCTGTTGTCTTCTAACTGGCTGTACCACTTTTGAAGAAGCTCTTGAAATGGCATCTCGTGGGGATAGCACCAAAGTGGATAAACTAGTGCGAGACATTTATGGAGGAGACTATGAGAGGTTTGGACTGCCAGGCTGGGCTGTGGCTTCAAGGTAACGGGAGTGTGCTTTCTTTTCACCCACTTTTGGAATCAGTGTTTGTACTACAAAGTCACTTGTTTAAAGTGTAAAATTTAGTGATTTCTAGTGTATTTGTAGAACTTTGCAACTATAGTCCAATTTCAGAGCATTCTCATCATCCAAGAAAGAATCTTTATATCCCAGCCCTCCCCAGGGGTGGTCTACTTTCTGTCTCCAGAATCTCCAGAATGAAATACTCTATTCTGAGTATTTCATAGAAAGGGTGTGGATAGTTTGTGATCTTTTGTGACCAGCTTCTTTCATTTAGCATAATGTTTCTAAGGTTCATTATGGTATAGCAAGTCAGTTTATTCTTTCTATTCCTGGATAGTATTCCAGGGTATAGATAGGCCACATTGTATCCATGTATCAGTTGATAAACATTTCAGTTGTTTCTGCTTTTAGGTTATGAATAATGCTAAACATTTGTGTGGACATATATTTTTAATTTTTTTTTTTAAATGTATCTGGGAATGGAGTTGTTGGGCCGTGTAACTGTATCGTTTTACCATCCTATCAGTTTATGAAAATTTAAATTTTGTCCATGTCCTTGGTAGCATGTTTATCTTTTTATTTTAGCTGTCTCATAGGCATGAAATGCTATTTCATTGTGGTTTTGATTTGCATTTCCTGGATGGCTAGTGAATAGTTTTGCATGTGCTCATTGGCCATATGTCTACTATCTTAGAAATATCCGTCCATGTCTTTTGCTAATTTTTTAGTTGTTTTTCTTTTTATTATTGAACTACAAGAATTGTTTATATATTCTGGATGGGAGTCCCTTGTTAGATACCTAATTTTCAAGTATTACCCTCCGCCCTTGTCTTTTTCTTTTCTTGATGGTGTTCTTTTTAGCATAGAAGTTTTTGATTTTGATGAAGTCTGTCTTTTATTTCATCTCCTGTGCTTTTGGTGTCTTATATAATAAATCATTACCTAGACTAAGGCCATAAGGGTTTACTTCTCTATTTTCTTCTAGGAGTTTATAGTTTCAGCTCTTAACATTAGGTCTGTGACCCATTTTGAGTTTTTAAGAAAAATTTCATTTACAGTGCTGGGGATTGAATCTAGGGTCTTGCCCATGCTAGGCAGTATTCTATACTTGTAACTCTCTCAAATTAATTTTTGTGTGTGGTGAGAAGTACCGCTCCAAATTCCTTCTTTAGCCTGTGATCCAGTTGGGCCAGCACTGTTTGTTTGTTGAAAAGACCACTCCATTCCTGTTGATTTCTCTTCTCTGCTTTGTTAAAAGTCAGTCAACTGTAAATGTTTCTGTTCATTTCTGGACTTCGAGTTCTGTCCCATTGACCTGTATATCTATCTGTCCTTATGTCAGTGCCACACTACCTTGATGACTTTAGCTTTGTATTAAGTTTTGAAACCAGAAAGTGTGAGTCTTCCAGGTTGTTCTTTTTAAGGATTATTTTGGGCTCCTTAACATTACTTAAGAATATTAGGAGGAGCTTGGCAGTGTCTGCAAAGAATACAGCTGGGATTTTGATAGAGATTCAGTCTCTTGACCAGTTTGGATAGTGTTGCCATCTTAACACTGTCAGGTCTTGTGGTCCAAGAAGATGGAGTATATTTTCATTTATTTAGGTTTTTGCTTCCTTTCAACAGTGATTTATAGATTTTAGTATATTTGTGTTACAGTCCTAAACATTTTAGTCTCTTCCCTGGTATTACAAATGGAATTTTCTGTATTTCAAGTTTTTTTTTTAGGCATACAGTTGTGTTATATGTATTGAAGCACGTTTCTTTTAGCAGAAAAGACGTACATACATACCTGTTACTAATTTTAGGCCTTTAGTAAATACTATAGCTTTAGGGGCTGGGATATAGCTCAGTGGTGTAGCACCTGCCTGGCAAGTGTGAAGCCCTGAGTTCGAGTCCCAGTACCCACAAAAAAAATACTGTAGATTTTATTTTTTGTTGTAGCATTTACTGGTTATCACTTTGTTTTCCTGACTGGCTGGGTTTATGCTCTGGTCAGCTATTATTCTGTCAATTCTGTTGATCAATATATTTTAACTACTTTATCTCCTAGGGAAATCTGAAACACATTTTTTTCCTCTCCTTTTTTGGTGCAGGAATTGAATGTAGGGTCTTATGCATGCTACACTCTCAGCCCTGAAATCAAGCTGTAGCAGGTTGTTTTAGGACTCAGCTGTGTGCAGTTTGCTTTGCTGTGATAAACCAACTTGCCAGATGTGAATGTGACCAGCTGGAGTGGAATGGCTGTGCAGTTGGCAGCAGTGCCGCAGAGGTGTCTCTCTGAAACTGTCTCTGGTGGCAGAAGGGGGAGTGGTGCCCTCAGCAAATCTGAGACTCTGGGTGACTCAGGGACTATGATGTCAGTGGTGATTTCAGAAGGCACAGGGAGAGCCACCTGCTGTTCATTTAGAGAGCTTGTAGGCTCTTTGAAGCTGAGTACTCTTTGAGCAGTTGCTCCATCATTGTGTAATAAAAAGTTGGAAGATTTGAACATTGTTGCCCTGAAAGCCAGTTTTATCTCAGTAAAGTAACATTGAATTCAGTTGGGCTCTGTTGACTTTGGTTTAGCAATGGGATGTTCTTTTTTTTTCTTCATCACAGCTTTGGAAACATGATGAGCAAGGAGAAGCGAGAGGCTGTCAGTAAGGAGGACCTCGCCAGAGCGACTTTGATCACCATCACCAACAACATTGGTTCCATAGCAAGAATGTGTGCTCTTAATGAAGTAAGGGGATGTGGGTTTCTTTTGTTGCTCTCAGGGAGATGCTGTACTTCCTAAGTGGATTCCACCTTGATGTTGTTTGTCTGCTCTTCGGAACAGTGCCTCAGTGTAGCTGTGTCATGTAGATTTCGTTTCAGTGTGAAGTTAAAACTTCAGGTGCAGGTTAATCCTCACTGATTTATTGAAGATAAGCATGGCTATTGTTTAGAGGTAAAGTGACCTCTTTTGAGGAGAAAGTAGAGGAAGGTAGGAAGGTTGCCAGGTTCTGATGATGGAGACTGTGGGAACGATGCTGCTGAATCTCAACTCCTGGCTCACTGGGGGCTCTAGAGGCCTGAGAAGGAATCCACTGGAAGTGACTGAAGCTGGGAGAAGACTGACTGGGTGACGAATGCCCAGCCCGGCTCCCCTCCACCTCAGCAGAGCTGTGTCTTTGTGCTTTCAGCTTCTTTACAGTGCTGCCTTGTAGCATTCAGGTCAAGCAGCATTGTACAGGGCTATGAAAGAACCAAGAATGGGCTGCCCTTGGGGAAAGCGGAGCTAGGGGCCAGCTGGTGCAGACTTATGGCTTGTCCCTATTTATGCTCTAAGTAGTTAATATAGGCATGGATTTTAAAAGGAAGCCTCAAAGACATAAAAGGATTTGTCTTATTTTTAATTAAAAAGATTGTATCTGATCAAATAATTAAAACATTTGAGTCTTTATTGTGTGTTCCTTTTCCTATTGGTCAGATGTTTTAGGATATTTTAGTTGGTGCACGTACCATTTTATGTTTTTTACTTAAATATACATTTTATAAATACATATTTGGTCAGATTTTTATTAGCATAGATTTATAACCTCACCGATCAGGTTCTTTAATGTCATAAATTATTCACATACAGCTGGGCATTTGGTTATAATGGTAACTCTGCAGTAAGCATTTTTAAGTGAAGCTTTTCTTTGCCTCAGCTTTATTTTTGACAAGGGGCTCAGCATTGAGACTTGTGGTTGTACAGTGTGGCTGTGGTCATTGATCTTGGTGCACATCATCAGGGCGCTTTGCACTGGGCTGGCCCATTTAGGTCACTCCTAGCAGTGAACTGACAGGTCAGTTTTACTGCAACTCTTTATCTGTTTTGGGGGTAGAATTTTTTTTTTCTTTAACTTAATAGGCTTAAAATTCTTGTTTTTTTTATCATACTAAAGTTGAAATTTTTCTACCTATTACAGATTTTTAATAATTTACCTATTTGTGGCATTTCCTTTTTGAATTGGAGTTTACCTTTTTTAAAAACTTACTGTATAAGATTTTCAGTTAGTATTTACTATTTGTCATAGAGATATTTTTCTCTAATCTGTTTTCTTCTTTGGAGTACTTGGGCATGGTTTGCAGTGAGTCCAGAGATGTCTGGGGATCAAATTGTAGTAGCAGTGACTGACTGGATTAAATTTGACCATCAGTCAAGTTGCTGCTAAAAACTGCATAGTGCTCTGTTGGGGGGTAGGTTTTCTTGAGAAAACAGTAAGATGCAAACTAATTGCCTTTTTTTGATGTGTTCAGAACATTAACCAGGTGGTATTTGTTGGAAATTTCTTGAGAATTAATACCATCGCCATGCGGCTTTTGGCATATGCTTTGGATTATTGGTCCAAGGGGCAGTTGAAAGCACTGTTTTCGGAACATGAGGTAAGCAGGCTTGTTTCTGGTGATGTGTAACATACATAAAGGGTTCACACTGGCAGAACTTGAAGGAGAATGGAGCTGGGCTGAGTACTTACTCTTCTTGTTTTTTTAATTAAATGAGTTTCATTTTGATTATAGAATTTAATAGCTATTTTTTCATAAAATGCAAAGTAGAATTTTGGCTAATTTAATTGTAAATTGAATCAGTTTTAAAGAATTTTCTTTATTTGTATGGTGGTACTGATGTTCAAAACCTAGGGCCTTTAATAAATGTAAATGTTTGCTACAAGCAAACAAAAACCCCAGGACCTGGCACATGCTAGGCAAGTGTTGTACCACTAAGCTGTATCTGCAGGTCCCAAAGAAAAACTTGAACGTTATTGTGTATTTTGGATGCTCTATTTTCTGAACAATCATTTACATTTTCCTATTGCATTGACTCTAAATATAGCTCCTCTGGGTTCTACCCCCCCTTTATTTATTTATTTATTTATTTATTTATTTTTCTGGTACTGGGAATCGAACTCAGGATCTCGTGCTTTCCAGGCAGGCGCTGTGCTGCTGAGCTAAATCCCCAGCCCCTTTTTTCATTTTTTTGATGCCAGTTTTTGTCTTGATATAATTCATATGTCGTATCTTTAAGATGTCTCTCTAAAGATGAATACGTCAGTAAAAACATTCCAGACTAGAACCACACTATCATAAGAACTTAACACTTAGGCAGGTAGAAATAACACGAGAAAAATCGCCAAATTGTGTAGTCTGATGTCTTATCTCCTTTTTTTTTTTTTTTTCTTAACTGTAGATAAAATGGAACTAGAGCTATGGAAAGGATTCTCTCTTCCCTCACCTTAGTTGCTATTGAAACAAACAATTCAAGTGTTGTTGGATTTTAGATAGTGTTACCATGAACGTTTTTCAGAATTACGTATCTTAGTGTAACAGTGTTTATGCAGATTGACAAAAATCAAAGTAGGCTTTGATTAGTAAAGATTACTTTTTCCTTTAAAGTTGATCTTAAGTTTTCTTCTTAAATTGCTTAAAGTTCATAGTTAAAATCCAAAGTATACAAATTCCCTATATTAAAAACTTCAAGCTTACTTTGTGTCTTTTTATTTCTAATGCGGTTATATTAGTAAATCAACTGACTTGCCATTAAGATTGTCATAGTTCTTTTGTTTTGTTTTTGTTTTTCTTCTGGTACCAGGAATTGAACTCTCTATCTTGCGCTTGCCAGGCAGGCACTGTGCTGCTGAGCTAAATCCCCAGCCTCAAGATTATCATAGTTCTTTATCTTCCTGTATGTGTCTCTTGTGATCTTTAACAGAACAAAAAGAAATCCTATTTAATGTTTTATCTTAGTATGACTTCCTTCTGTGTAATTGCTACTTTTTGTTTGTTTTTCTCCGGTACCAGAAATCAAACTCACGACCTTGCGCTTGCCAGGCAGGTGCTGTGCCACTGAGCTAAATCCCCAGCCCCGTAATTACTACTTTTTGTTGAACCATTTCCTAGGTAAATGTGGAGATTAGTTTCTTAGGTTAACTTTTCTTCTTCAAATTTGCATCTTCATATAACACAGGTTGAGCATCTCTAATTTGAGAGTCTGAAATGCTCCAGAATCTGAAACTTTGCCAACTAACATTTTTGGTACCAGATTTTTAGATTCAGATTTTTAAGATTAGGGTTCCAATATCATATTAACCTCTACGCAAATATTCCAAAATCCAAAAAACTCCAAAATCAAAACCACTTTTGTTCCCAAGCATTTTGGGTAAGGGATATTCCATCTATAATTATAAATCCTTTATGAAATTTTTACTTTTTCTGAGATGGGGTCTTGTAGGCATGTGCCACTACATGTAGCTATTTTTATATTTTGTCATTATCCCTGCTGATTGCATTGTTTTCTCTGCTTAGCATTGCTGGACCACGTGTCCCTGTGTTCTCCATGTGCAGTCAGGCTTCTGACTAATGTGGCTCTCTGCCCTTGTGGAACTTTATTTTAGCCTTTCTGGGTTTTGAAGTATTTTCCTGTTTTCCACAGCAAGGCATTTGGTTTAATGGTTGTCAAAGGTCTCCTTCAACCCTTACCATTCTCATTCACCATACCGGACAATAGGTTCTTGGTTTTTAGGAGAACTCAGTATAATGGGTAACCCTGTCTGTTTATTTATTTTTTTAATTGTAAAATGAAGTACAGACACAGGAAGCTGTAAGACTACATTGATAGCTGTTGTCATCTGGTCTGTAGCTCTGACAGGGAACCTGAGTATGGCTGAGTCTCTCTGCTGTATTAGTCCTGCAGCTTCTGTTACACTATATAGTACAGCTCTCGGTCAGTGTGGGTTTTGTCTTATTTCCTTTAGTATTTTACCCTCTTCTTTTTGGTTGGATTTCTGTATTTGCAGTTGCATGTGACCTACTACTCACCTCTGGACGTGATGTGACACTTGTCCTTTTTGAGCTGATACTTCTCTGTCGCTTGCCTCTGCATACCCTCCCTTTAGGAACTTCTGTCCTCTTCCTGTCACCTCAGGGCACTGCTGACCACTGCTGACTGCGTGCCTCTGGACATAGCTGCTCCTGTCCTACCCTCTAGAGCATCCACCTGCGTTGCTGTCCACATCTTTTGCTGTTGTGGCCCCACGCTCAGCAGTGGCATCCCTACCCCTCCCTGCTGCCCTCATCCTCTCCTTTAGATGCCTCTTGAGCATATTCCTACTGTTGCCCACCCTGCCTGCCACCCCCAGCTCAGGCCCTCCTCTGTGACACTTGTCCTCTGGCCTCACCACCCTTAGCTGTCTGGAGGCACGCCTCACGCCCCCAGGACAGCTGGGCCCTCTTACCAGAGGCACTGAGCCACATAACTTCTGTGGCACCCACCGCAGGTTTAGCTCTGCTCTTCCCACAGCAGCCGGGCTCCCCGGCGCCCAGACTGGCCTCAGGCCTTCAACTGGGGCTCAGGGACAGTCAGGAGTTATGGGCTATGTTGACTTTAATACTAGTAACTCTACTTCTGGTAGTTGAAAGGACAATTTCTCTTACATTTGGTGTATTCTTTTCAGGGTTATTTTGGAGCAGTTGGAGCACTCCTTGAGCTGTTGAAGATTCCCTGATTGTCACCTGGGAGGGCTTCCTGAATCCTTCCACGATGGGATTTGTGGACTTTTTTTTTAAGAGACTTATCCAGTTTTATGATTGTTTACTACCTGAATCAAAGTGAGAAATAAGAAGTGTATTTTTCTAAGTCATCAAGATAAAAATTCCGTCTAAACTAGCAGCAGTAAGCAAAAATACATTAAAAACAAAGTGGACCATGTCCAGGCAGTGTGAGGGTTTGCTGTCTTCAGACTGCTCTTCAGTATAGTCCTGTTAAGCTTGTGGTGTGCTTTGAAATCCCAGCATCATTCCCCGAAGATGCTCCAGGAGAGCTGTCTTGTGCTCCTGCATTTAGCTGAGTGGCTGAATGCAAGTCAAGCTGCTGTGTTACAGTCTAATCACAGTTTTGTCAAAATGACCTTGGAGATCATCCGTGCATTATTGGTTTGCATGTAGTCTTTGTGTGAGCATACTCGAGAATGGTTTATCTCAAGGTTCTGTGAACTTTTAACTGGGCAGGCTAATTTTTTTTCTTTTTTAAAGATAAGCATCTCACTGTGTAGCCCAGACTGGCCTTGAACTAACAGCAGTCCTCCTGTCTCAGCCTCCCAAGTGCTGGGATTGCCCTGGTTGGGGCAGGTGAATAAATCTGTACCCCAAATTTGACAAGTAGTTTTTGGGAGGGCATTTCTCGTTACTTTACATTGAAAATAATGAGGACTTCTGGGTGGAAAGATAAGACTTCTCACACATTTTCTTGGGTAATGAATGGAGTTAGTGACTTGAAAGTTGTGAGCTAGTAGAAGAAACACAGCCCAAAAGAATGACACCAGATCAAAGGGCTGCTAGAATTGCCATGGGTGTGTGTGCATGTGTGTGTGGGGGGGGCACAGGGCAGAGTACTTCCAGGCCAGTAGCAAAGGGGGAAGTATGGAGTCGACAGAGGAACTCTTAGGGTGGGGGTGGGGACGAGGGTGGGGTGCTCAGGCTCTGGTGACAAGTCTCAGAAGACTGATGGGCTGTGAGGTGGTTTTGGGAAGGGCTGAACCTCTGTTTTCTGCTGTGCAGAATAAAAAGCCTTCTTGGAGATGGTGCAGCTCTTAAATCTTAGGTATTAAGTAATCTGATGTCGGCATTGCTGTGGGAGGGAGGGAAGGGCCTGCAGTTTTGCAACCAGAAGACACCAAGGCTTTGCTAGGTGGCAGAGCTATTTCTGTCTTTTGGCCTCGGCAGAGAGGAATGGGCCTGGCTGAGCTTGGGCTGGCTGTGTGGGGCAGCAGAGGACAGCTGCCAGCCAGGGGATAGAGCTGGGGTGGGACTAATGGCTCAGCCCTTCCTGCAGCGCTTTGGCTCATTGGGTATGGATGCCTTTGGCCTGAGGCCCCCATAGTGCAGAGAAGAGGCACATTGCAGAGATGGCAACTGCTTCCCCGTTGGCTGTTGCTTCAGGGCTCAGAGGTCCTAATCCTGCATCTCCCCAGTTGTCTGTCTGGTGGCTCCACCTTCCCCTCAGCCACCCACTTCAGCCCACCAGAGGGTGGGGTGGGGTGTTGTTCCTTATCCCCGGTGCCTGAGGACTGCCTGCTCCAGGAGCGTCCTCTGAGACCTCCAGGGTCCATCTTGCCCCTCTGCCTCTCCTGAGTTTATTGAAGGCTGTGACCAGCAGTTTACGTCAGACCCTCCTTTAGTCCGTCCTATTTTCATCGTGTAACTGGAAGAAACCGAAGTCTACCCAAGGTCACACAGCCTGGAACAGACAGAGCTGGACTCATGCCCAGGTCGGCCTGGCCCCAGAGCTTGAGTAGGGAGGGAGTCTGCCTCTCCTTCGCTTTCCTCCTCCTGGGACCCACAGTCACCCTCTTGTTGAGAAGCTGCTTTGCCTCACTTTCCACCGTGTGCTCAGCCGACTCAAGTCATTCCACACAATGGTGCTAAATGGCTGCCATTGGATCCATGTTCTAAACCTAAGAGGGCTCATCCTCTTTGGCTTTCCTGGCTACTTGTCAGCCAAGCTGCTTTTTGAGGACAGATGATGTCTGTGCCCCGGGCTCAGTACCCCAGCCCGCCCTGGCCTCTGAGCCCCAGCCCAACACTGCCCACTGCTCTCCCCCTGCAGATCTCCAAGGCCATCTCCATGTGGGGACATGCTCCTCATCCCAGCTGACTCCCCATACCACCTCCAGCTCAAGGTGCACAGAACTCAGCGGGGTTGCCTAGGTGCCACCACCTGCTTGGTGTCTGCTTGGTGGCCTGCAGGCCCCACCTGACTCTCCCCTAAGGAGGCGGTGAAGGGGCTGTGGTCATGATGCAGAAGGGAAATACTTCTTGGGCTGTGTTGGCTGGATGGGAGGGAGCTGGAGGGTGTCCTGGGTTTGGGCTGTTTCATTTTGAGATACGGAAGTGGCAGGTGGATTTTGAGTGTGGGAAACAATGCTGAGGATGATCTCCATACAGGTGAGATTTAAAAAACGAAGTGATAGGCAGTAAAAGAAAGGTTGAGAAAACCAGGCCAGGCTCCAGCACCCGAGGGCAGGGTGCTCCCTAGCATCTGGATGAAGGGGTTATAAGGCTGCCCAGCGGCTGAATGGAAGGCAAGTCCTGGTGTTATGTGGGCCACTGAGGGACAAAGCTTGGCCCTCTTACTAGAGGTGACCTTGAGTGCTGGCATTCACGGCAGGAGGCTGCTTGTCTATGCCCAGCTGTGCCTTCAGAGCCGAGCCGGGGTGGGTGGAAAGGCATAGGCTTCCACTGTAGCCTGCACTGGAGGCCTCTCTGTCTCCCTTGAAAGGCCTCACACTCTTGCCACCACTCCCTGTCCCCTAGCAGTGTCCCATACCTAACAGAAGGGGGCAGGTCATGGTGCTCCACTGATCAGAACCCCTCATCTTCAGTTACCAAGTTTGGCCAGTCTGCCTTGAGTGTACGTGATACTGAGTTGGAAGATACATGCTCAGAGTGAAGGATTTTCAAAATCAGCTTTTTATTTACATGTGTTTGAATCAATTACATGCATGTTTTATTTTTAAACAAGTGATTAGCAAAAACATTAAAATTTTAAAATAGCAATTAAATATACAAAAATATAGCTTACAAAAAACTGCGAATGTTTAAAAATATTCTGCTGCAGAATTCTTAGTTTACAAATACGTCTATGAAATCTGAAGCACAGCATTTCATAAACATTTTTTTTTTGAAGGAGTTATAATATCTAGTGAATAAACCCCAAAGGGCTAAACTGCAAGACTAAAGTGCCCCCTTCCTAGCCAGGAGCTTGAAAGATAGGTTGTCACCAGGAGGGACTTGCTAACACTGGCCACCCTGCCCTTGCCTGTGTTAGCTGGGCCAAGGAGGGACATGGACGGAGAGAAGCAGTGCACAGCAGGGCCAGATACAGACCTTCCAGACTGGACCTGGCCTAAGGAGCTGAGAAGAGTTCCAGCAAAGTACAAGCAAGCCTCCCAGCTCTGGTGTGCCCATGTTCTGGGTCACCGTGTCTGTGAAGCAGCAAGGGTATTCTCTGATGGCACAGCCACAGGCCAGAGGTCTGGACTGGTAAGCCAAGAGTGCTGATGTTTGGTCTAAAAGTGGAATAAAAAGATTTGTATCATGCAACAATTTGGGCTGAGTCACAAAAACATGTACTGAACAAGCCTTTAGTTTTCTCCTGCCATTCCCACTAAAGAGCCAAGACCTGGTATTTTCTAGTTATCACCTGCAAATTCCACAATTTAGACCTGTATCTCTTTTAGGAAATTACTATCAGCTCCAAGGGAGGATACTAAAATCAGTTGGGTCAGAGATTCCACAAGTGCCCTGGTGTGGAGTTTGCACAGAATTTCAAGTCACAGGTCGGGGTGGGCCCTGCTGTACATTTTAGCCCACTGGGTGGCTGCTCTAGGTGGCAGAGAGGCAGGTGATGGCCAACACTGGGTGGTTGTTGGGGAGCGAGATACATCTGCCTTTTCCATGAAGGCTGCCTGGAAGGAGCTGTTTTAACTTTAATCTCCTTTAAGGGCAAAAATGAACTGGAAGCCAGGTGTGGTGGCGCAGTCCTGTAATCCCAGCACTCGGGAGGCTGAGGCAGGAGGATTGTTGCAAGTTCGAAACCAGCTGGGCTACAAAGTGAGTTCAAGGCCAGACAACTGAATAGTGAGACCCTGTCTCAAGACAAACAAAAAGCGAAAACAAAACAAAAAAATGGAAAAAAACTACTAGTGGTACAGATTCTATTGTCAGATGGAAAGTTAGTTCAGCAAGGGGGAAATTCAGTAGGAAGCACTTGCTTCTGAATGCACTTAAAGATCTTGGGAAAAGCAGCCAATCTGGGAGCTCACATATGGACATGCAAGTGTAGCCATGGTGGTGAAGAACAGCAAGAGACACCTGTCCCACAAGACAGAAGCCTGGTTTCAAACCCCTGCCTCAGAAACATTGGCACTCACCCAAGAGACCATGACAGTCAGCTGGACATCACTATGGGACACTCCTGGTCCTTCAGGAGCGGCTGGCAAGGGGGAGGGGTGGCAGCTTGTTGGGACACCTGCACGGCTGCTCAGGGCTAGTGTGGAAAACGAAACTGGTGGTACTTTGGGATTAGCGGGGCATTTGGAGGAAGGGAAGGATTGCAGTTTCTTTTTTGTACAGGAAACCAGAATTCCAGAATGTAATAAAGTAGAAAAGAGCCTTATTCAAAGGGAATGTCATTGCAAAAACACCCTCTCAGGCCTCTTGTTTTACAGATGTTCTGACTTCTGGATGGTTTTATCTCCATGAATAGGACTGTCTCTTGAATTCCTGCCTCTTGTGAACAAAAAGGGAGAAAGATTACATATGTATGTGTGAGTCTGTGTGCAGACTCTGGAAGGATACACAAGGAATAAACTAATGGTGGTCATGGGGTGAGGACAACAAGGAAGACTCAACTATATAATATGCGCACTTTTGTAGGGACTACTCAAAAGATAAAGGAAGACAGCACTAAGCAACCAAATTAGTGTGCTCTGTGGGCAGAGGCAGATGGAGGTGACCAAGGAAGGTCAGGAGAAGAAAGGTTGGGAACAAGGTCCCTGCAGCTCAGGAAGCTTCAGATGCTGCTATGTAGTATCAGTACCCTGACTGAGGCCCCATTAGCACTCTTAAGCTAATCCTCCCACGAGGCTGTCCAGTTACTGTCACTACATCCCTGGGGGGGTGGGTGGGTAAGGAAATGGGGCTTTGAGGGGCTGACCTGCAGAAAGGCACAGGGTGAGTTCCAAGGGGCTGATTCATATCACTGCAAGTGCTTGTGCCTAGATCTCTGGGGTCCTTTGCTGTGCATCATTTCATCATCCCTAAAAGGTCTCTCAAAGTAGTTACTGTCTTTCAGAGAAGAGCAGGATCAGGCCATGGAGATGATGTGCTTTGGAGTAGGGCTATGAAAAGGGTCTTCACTAGTCAAGTCTTGTCAAGAACAACATTGCTAGTGGTAGGAGCTTCCCTGTATTCCTCAGTCCAGACCTCAGAGGCCCCTTGTCCTCAGCTGGCCATTTTTGTCTTCCCCTTTTCCCTGGCTAGACAAGCACAGGCCACAAGGACCTTACCTGCCAGGGACAGGCCTAACCAAATTGGACTGGGCAAAGAAAAGCAGCAGATGCTGACCCAACTGGGAATCAAATGAGACTGCATTTGTCCCTGGTTTCTACAGCCAGTTGAGTTGTGGCCCTCGCAACAACCAGATAATGATTTAGCCACGACGGAATCCAGCCAGGAGTTTGCTCCACTAACCCATGGCACACAGTGAGCTGCTTAAGACGCTATGACAAAGTACACCATCCAGTGGTCCAAGAGCTGCCTAGAGTCCCCATGTATCCACATGTTTGACAAAAGGTCACCAGCAGCTCATGGATGTGGAAAGGGCAGCCTCCCCACGGGTTTGGGCCTGAGCAAAGAGAATATAAAGGGATCTGTACATCATTCTGTTTTTCCTACATAATTTTTTTAAAAAAATCTGGATGGAGTGTCCTTCAGATAAAAAAAAAAAAACAAAAAACGTGATTTTAATCTGAATAAAGAGATGACATTAATGAAAGGGTCTGCTGTTTGCATGGCCATTGCTATAGATGCACAAGAAAGGCCTGGCTTGGTGGTGGGGAAGGGGCAGATGTGGGGAGCAAACACGGGGGTTGTGTGGCTAAGAGCTGTCAGAACTGCTCTGAATGATACTGGGCCTGCCACCTACCACTGTAGGCCGCCACGCACAAGGAGGAGACAACTGAGGAGGAGTACATCTTCAGCTCTAGCCAGTTCTAGTAGGAGGAATGCCTTCTTTGAAGCACTCCACATCCATAAGTGTGGAGAAAGTGAGGTTAGTGACACCTTGTCTGGTCAAGTAGACCCTAAGGTGGGGCCCACTGAAGAGCACAGCCCGACAATCCAGGCCCCCTGCCTGAGGTCCAGTCTGGCACCAATTGTCTCCACCTGCCTGGAGCTCTGATGCAGTGAGGTCACTTATTCTGCCTCTGTAAAGGCAGGGACTTGGTGAGGCTGTGTCCTTAGTTCCCATGCACAGGGACAAAAGGGCTGTAACAAATGCTAGAATCCTTTAGAAGGAAGGATTGGCAAAGTGGCAATAGTTTGTATAGATCATGGACATTCCTCCCTTGAAGGAAAAAATTCTCCTTTCTGTTGGAGCCCCTCTAGAAAAGGACATCTGTCCCAAGGCTGCTGTGGAAAATGGTACATGCTAGGTGAGGTCAGAAGCAAGCCACTTCTGACATTGGTCACTGAAAACAGTTCACTGTAAACTGGGTGTTGTAGCATTCAGTGCAATCATGCTAGAAACAACACAAAAGGAGGGTGAGCGTGTACAGAGTTCTCACGGGGCCAAACAGGCTAAGGCGCTCGTATAAAAATAGTTCATACTTCTCTTGCCCTGTTTAGGAAGCAGGCCAGTTGGCATACCACAAATAGGTCGCCCATAGGAAACTCCAATTCTGACCGGCTGGATTAGTAATTTTCCAAACTGGATTCTGCTCAGCACTTTTCTAGGCAAATGGGAATTTTCCTCCTCATCTGACCTCAGCCACCTGACCAAGGACAGGTTTGCTCTCGTTCCAAGAGAGTAGAGGCTGGACTCCGGAAAAAAATTCCCGGAGACATGCCAGGAGCAGAGCAGCAAGCCCCTCCATCCTCTTTCCATGTCACGCAGACTGTACTTCCGGTGAAAAACTTCCCACTCACACCTGTGGGATGGAGCAGAGCAAAGCGGTTGCCGAGGCATTGAGGAAGCACTCCTGTGATGAGGGGGAGAGCAGGCTGTGGAAAAGAATGTTTTCTGTCACTCGCTGCTGCTTTACATGGCTGATTTACAGTGTTTGCAGGCTCTAGTGGGCTGAATCATTTCTACAAAAGCAGGACAGAAAGAGCCACAGAGCAGCATGCATTTCTCTCCTATAAAGACACTTGCAGTCAGCGATCCAAGTCCAAATACTGAGGCACACACCAGTGGAGGAGGGGCTGGACCCGGTTACAATTCTGAGTGGATCACTGGCTTCAGGCTTCTGACTTACATAGGATCTTATATGGGATAAACTTAAAAGTCACTGGCAGGCATTTTAAGTAGAAACAGGGTAAGAGCAAAGAATAGAGGGAAAAGGGAGAGGTAAAGGGTTCAGCATCTTCATCTAGAAGGGCCAGGCAGATCAGCTTTTCTCAGAAAGGTGCTCCTCTCTGGGGCCACCTGAGGGGCTCATGGTGGTCCTCCACAAACAACAGCTACAAGGACACTGCACGACACTCTGGGGCCCCCAGGTCACACAGGGACAGTGTGGGCTCCTAACGAGCCTCACTGGTGAAAAGGAGAGGAAATGATCAGAGGAAATGACTTCTGGTCAGGCCTTTCCAAGCCTTCAGCTTACTAGGTTTGACAGCAAGTACTGTGAACCTGGAGTGAGCTGAGCTGGTGGTGAGAGGACTGCACTCTGTTGCACCTGAAGCCCTTGGGTTGCAGTGTGACCTCATCAGAGGGACACAAGCCTTACGGGCACTGCCTCGCGAGCTACTGGCAGGTTGTGCTTCGGCTGGCATAACCGCTGGTTTTACTTGGCTCAGGGGTACCAGGAGGTTTTTGGGGTCTGCACAGAAGCTTAACCATCCTTAGGGCGGTGTGTGGACTTAGAGACCTTTTCTCAGCTCCCTTCTCTAACACCTGTGTTCATCTTCCCTTCTGCCTAATAAAGATTCACCTTGACATGGAGGTAAGTGTCTGGTAGACAGCGTAATGGAGTTAGCAAGAGATCACAGAGTTTCTGGAATCAAACCTGCAGGCTTATCCACTTCTCTTCTCTCTCATGGGGTGGTGTCAGATTGCCTTGATTGTCACAAGACCCAGATGCCTGGGTTCTCAGCCTGGCTGGCCCAAGAGTTCTCCATGAGGCAAAGGAAATGGCAGCTGGTGCCCCAGGTAGAGAGCAGCCGAGACAGAGACTGCTTGTGTTCCTCCCGGCTCCACGCAGATGTCTCATCCAGCAACAGTCTGGTCCGTGCAGTGAGCTATACAATGTTCTCTGCTCCGGGGAGGGGGCCCTGCGGGGGTCCATGGTCCTGCTTACTGTGCAACTGCGCCAGCTGCAGAACTGGCATGTTGCACAGGGGACACACTTTCCGAACCTCCAACCACTTAATAAGGCACCTGCAGAACGACATGCCACAAGGGGATTGTGAGCCCCAGGCTCATGGCAGCCCCTGTCCCCAGCTTGCTGTTGCCGTGGCTTGTAGACACATCTGTGGTCCAGAGCCAAAGTGTGAGGAGTTGTGTGTGTCCCAAGGAGCCCCATGACATGCAGAGAACGCCTGCCACCCTCTGGAGGAACCAGCACCTCTGTTTCCCACAAGGTAATACCAAGAAGCCACAGTGAACAGGTTGAGCCCTCAGCTGCCCCCTACTTAAAGAACAAAGTCCACTGAGGCGGGGGATGGGAAGTAGGAAAAATAAAGTTTTCTAATATAAATCCAAAACAAAATTGCATGCAGAGGGGGAATATTACTATGTCTTCAGGAAGGGGGAGGAGGCAGTCTCATACCACCATTTATATCCAGACTGTTTATTATGATTTAAAGTAATTGTGGTTCTGATTAAAATATATTTAGGAGATGGAAGCTGTCATTGGAAAGTTCCAGCCAAACAGCTGTTTACAGCTTGCGCTCCAATGAGGCATGGGCTTGGGCGGCTCTGCCTGAGCTGTCCTGTGGTGGTCATGGTCTGCCTGCCTGTCCTTTCTAAAGTCACGTACACATATTCCATCCGGAGGGGTCCGTCAGCTTTCTGCATTATAGACTAATTGTGAAGCCATCTGGTATTGCCCCAAGGCCCATACTACCTTGGCTGATGTAAGTTGGATCACACTAAATAAGCAGTTCTAAAATGATACTCACTTTCTGTGGAAGGCATGCTTACATGGACAAATCCCCAACTCATCTCGAGGCTTGAAGTCTTCTAGACACACTGCACAGAGCTGAAAGACAAAGTCATAAATGAGGCCAAAGGTCTGCTGGGTACTCACCCAGGCCATGTGAAGGGACTTACAGTGTCCCAGTGTCCCACAGTTCTTTTACATGAGGGCAACAGGCTGGCACAGCCACAGCCTGCTGAATGAGGGTTTCACACTGTTCTGCTGCCTGGCTCAAAGGCGGTAGGCAGACAGGAGAGATGTGTGACAGGGTCAGGGTCCTGTCACACATGCAGGCTTTACCTTCCCTAGAGAGGCTCTGTCTGCTCTGAGGTGCAGCCCTGGCTCCCAAATGCTTGCTGCAGGGCACACTGGGCAATCCTCACTCCAGTTTTGTGGAACAGTTTGCAGTAAAGTAATATGTTACTTGTAGTTCCAGGGCTTCCTACTACTGTGGCACTATCCTTTTGTCAGTGTCTTTGTCAAATTAAGAGTTATTAAAGGTTCATTACGTTAAAATTTATGAAAACATGGTGGCGCACGCCTATAATCCCAGCACTCGGGAGGTTGAGGCAGGAGGATCATTGCCAGTTCGAGACCAGCCTGGGCTACAAAGTGAGCTCAAGGCCAGCCTGAACTGCATAGTGAGACCCTGTCTCAAAAAGACAAAAAAAAAAAAAGAAAATATGTTGACAGGGCCAGGATCGCTTTCTAACAGCTGCTCACTCTCTGCTGCTTGGAAAGAGGCTTTCTCTTCCCCCGTCCGATGCTCGTTTCCAACACTACTTCGTGAGGCTGACCAATGCCCTGCACACCGTGCACTGTCGCATTTGCCCATTTACAGGTATGGAGACAGAAAGCAGTGACTATGTCAGGGAGCAGCTGGGCATGGCTGGGGACCCAGGTCTGTTGCCCTGATGTACCATGGAACCCAGGCTCTTGTGCAGTGGCTGCATGCCTCTGTATGTGTCTCTGTCCATCCCCAGGGGCCCTGGTTCGGGCAATCCCTGATTCTTGCTGATGACCTGGCTTCACTGTCTCCACTTTCTTAACCTCTACCATGTCAGCCCAACTTCCTAGGTCAATGTATGCCAGGGCCAGCACCCTGAATGCTGGTCTTCCAATGGCCTTGGTGGACCACAGACAGAATCTTCCCAGCAGGACAGTGGACAACTGTGTTGGGTCAGAACTGCAGGAGGAAGAACAGAGCAGACAGTTGGCCTGGGTTTGAACACCATTAGTGGTACGCCTGTGCACTCTTGATACCCCTCAGAGTTCTGTCCCTGGTCTGCTCCTCACGACTGCCATCTGATTAGGGTAGAAGGATGCAGAAAGGCAGTCCACCAATACCAGCTGTCCTTAATGCTCCCATTTTGTGAGCATTATTTTCAAGCCTATGTTTTTGTTTCTGGAGGCAAGTTAAGAACAATCTGGATAAAAAGCAGCAGCTAGCAGTTTCAGTATTAGGGTCTCTTTTGGGCCTCAGCTTTCCGTGTGTAAGGACGATGCTCCCACATCCTAGACTCAACAGGGCCCTGTACCCCTCCAGAGCCTTCACCTGAACCTTGTGACACAGACTTAGACCCGTGCTTTGGAGGACCTGTTCAGTACTAACCACACCAAAGCACAAGTTGGACTCATTGCTCATTTTCATTCACTTATTTTTCCAAAATTATATTTGTAGTCTTTTCAAAATGGAGCTTGTAGCTAGACATGGTGGCACACACTTGTAATCCCAACTCCTCAGGAGACTGAGGCTGGAGGATAACAAGTTCATGTCCAGCCTGGACAACAGAGCCTAACAACAACAACATTAAGAAAAAAATAAAAAGGGCTGAGAATACAGTGGCAGAACACGTGCCAAGCATGTGCCTCGCATCCACAAGGGGTTCAAGTCCCAGAAACTGAAAACATAAACTGAAAGGGGTCTAATAATAGTTATGATGTGCTATTATGTTCTAAATAAACACATTCTAAAACTACAGATGCCTTAAATAATTTTTTTTAAACCATAAGATAAATTCAGGAATGTTAATTGGTAAAGGAGATCAAAAATTAAGGGTGATCACCAAAAAACAAAAGCCTCAGATCTGACTTCCTAGGAGTTCTTTAAGGGCCAAAGTCATTGTATACCTTTTGTTTCAGGTCAGAGTATGCAAATGAGCTTTACTTTTCAGTATTTCAAAGACAGATTATTTCTTCACTAGGGCTCCCCATCATCTTTAAAAAGCACAAACTGAGATATAATTCACATACTATATTATTAATTACTTTAAGTAAGTATAAAAGTAAGCAGTTCTTAAATATATTCAGAGCTCCTAACCCACTACCACTGTATAATTTTCCTATCCCCAAAGGGCCCATATTCATACATAGTCACTTCCTAATTTACTCTCTGTCTTGATGGATTTCTCTATTCCAGACATCCCATATAAATGGAATTATACTACCTGGGTATGGTGGCACATACCTGTAATCCTAGCACTGAGACAGGAGGATTGTGGTGTTTGAGGCCAGCCTGGGTTACACAGTGAGTTCAAGGCCAGCTTGAACTACATGGTGAGACTATGTCTCAAAAAATAAAATAAACGGAACTATATAACATACTGGTTTTTTGCCTAGCTTCTTTCCCTTAGTTTAACATTTTCAGGGGACATTACATAAGTTACTTCATTCATTTTTATAGTTGAATAATATTCCATTGTATAGATAGACAACTTTTTGTTTATCCTTTCATCTACTGATGATCACTAAGGTTTTTAATCTTTTGGCTGTTGTGACGAATATAGCAGCATGATAATTTATAATAAAGTATTGTAAACACTGGTGTGTAAGTATATGAGGCCCTGTTTTCAGTTCTTTGGGGTATACACCAAAGAATGGAATTACTGACTCATACAGTAACTCTATATTTAACTTTTTTTTTTGAGACAGGGTCTCACTATGTAGTTCAGGGTTGCCTTAATTAAACTCACTGTATAGCACAGGCTGGCCTTGAACTCACAGCTATCTTCCTGCCTTAGTACCAGGATTACAGGTGTGTGCCACCACGTTTGGCTCTATATTTAACTTTCTGAGGAGCTATCAAATTGATTTCCAAAGTGGCTGCAGAGTTTTACATTCTTACCAGCAGTACGTGAGCTCCAATTTTTCCGTATCACCACCAATATTAATTATTGTCTTTTTTAGGGGGCGGTGGTACTGAGAATGGAACTTAGGACCTCGTGCTTGACAGGCAGGTGCTATGTCACTGAGCTATATCCCTGGCCCTAATTATTATCTTTTTGATTACAGTTATCTTAGTGGATGTGAAGTGGTCATTTTCCTGGCAACTAACCACGATGTACTTTTTGGCCATTTTCTTTTCTTTTCTTTCTTTCAGTCTTTCTTGCTTTCTCTCTTTCTTTCTTTCCTTCTTTCCTTTCTCTCTCTCTTCTTCCTCCCTCCCTTTTTTCTTCTTTCCATTTTTTCTTTCTTTCCTTTCTCTCTCTCTCTTTCTTCTTCCTCCCTCCCTTTTTTTTTCTTCTTTCCATTTTTTGAGATAATGTCTTGCCATGAAGTTCAGGCTGGCCTTGAACTCACTATGTTGCCCAGGCTGGCCTCAAACTTGTGGCAATCCTCCTGCCTCAGCCTCCTGAGTGCTGGGATTACAGGCATGCATCACTATGCCTGGCCATTTGTATTTCTTCTTTGGAGAAATGTCTACTCAAATTCTTCTGCCTATTTTGGGGCTGGTTTGTTTTTCTTTTTATTATTGACTGATGAGAGTTCTTTGTATATTTTAGACACAAATCACTTATCAGGTAGCCAACTTATCTGACAAAGGTGTGATATTTCAGTGACAGGAGGATGGCCATTTTAACACATAATGTTGGAGCAACTGTGAATCCACACACATCAAAAGCATGTGATATCTAAAGCACAAGCAACCAAGAAAAAAAAATGATAAACTGAAGTCCATCAAATTGAAAAAACATTATTTGCAAAAGATCCTGTTAGGAAGAGAAGCCTGGGAGAAAGTATTTTCAGACCTTTTTGTTTTATGGCTTTTTATTATGGAGTTCTAAGAATTTTTGGTATAGTCTAGATACTAGAGCTTTCTTAGATATGAGGTATGAAAAAATATTTTTTGAGACAGCTTCTCAAAATGTAGTTTAGGCTAGTCCTGAACTCACTATGTAGCCTAGGCTGGCCTTGAACTCATGGTGATTCTGCTTCTTCACCATCCCAGGTGCGGGGATTACAAGTGTGTTCCACCATGCCTGGCATTTTTCACTTTCTTGATGATGTCCCTTAATTTCGATGAGTTCAATATATCTATATTTCTTGGTCTATTTGTTCTTTAGGTGTTCTAAGAATCCACTGCCTAACTTAAGGCCATGAAGATTGATACACTTGTGTCTACTTCTAAGAGTTTTATACTATTAGCTGATACATTTGTCTAGATACATTCAGACAAAAAGGCAGTGTAGAATAAAAAACTATGACGCAGCCATATGGTATCTATAAGAAAACTCACTTCAGTATAGTTATACAGGGAGACTGAAAACAAAAGGGCTGAAAAAGATTTACCATGCAAACATTAATCAAAAGGAAGCTGAAGTGTCTATATTCATATCAGACATCACAGCAAAGAAAATTATTGGGGATGATGAGGAATCTTGATAAAACAGTCAATCATCAAGAAGACATAAAAACTCTAAACGTATGTACCTAATAAAAATGCTTCAAATAAATGACTAAATAAAAGGAAAGACATAGTGTAGTCACAGATTAGAGCGTTCAGTATGGTAAAGGCCATTTCCTTCCAAATAGATTTATATATTTAACATAATGCTAATTGGTTCAGCAAACCCAGAATTGACGGGTGCCACTGGGATACCTGCTCTGACATGGTCTGATGTAACACACCATGCTTGTTCAGGTGATGAATCGAACTAATACGGAAGGTTCTTTGCCTGACAAACTTGGGTTACCCAGCATGTTAATGTCTATCAGAATTTAATCTTTTCACTATTTTTTTTTTTTTTTTTTTTTGTCTTTTTTGAGACAGGGTCGCACTATGCAGTTCAGGTTGGTCTTGAATTCACTTTGTAGCCCAGGCTAGCTTCAAACTCACAATGATCCTCCTGCCTCAGGTTCCCAAGTGCTGGAATTATAGGTGTGTGAGACCACGCCCGGCTTCACTGATGGTTATCAAAAGGCCTCAATTAGAAAAATGATCACCTTCTATATCGTCATATTAATTTTGGCCATGTGTCAAAATTAATTTTTGGAAAAAGTTAAAAATCAAACAGTAAGTGATGCCTGGTTTAATCAAAGTTTAGGTCTAAAGTGCTGTTAAACAAAAATTTCTATTCTTTGATGAAAAATACACAGAATGCCCAAAGGAGCAGATGATTCAAAGTGTTTAGTCATAATATAGATAATTATTTTTATTACTCAAATAACTCTACAAATTAACTTTCTTGGAAGACACTAACAATGTACCTTCATTACTTTTGGCCATGTAAGACATAGACTTTATAATGTACAGTTTTCCAAATCTGTGTTTTAAATACCAATTCAAAAATTCAGAAAGGCAGGAAGAGAAAGGGCAATACAAATTAAAATTATGAACATCTGTAGTCAGAGGCAACATAGGAGTAACAATACCAAGAATTCTTATAGACAATGTGTCTTAAAATGTAGAAAAGGAAGCCAGATGTGGTAGTGCATGCCTGTAATCCCAGCACTGGGGAGGCTGAAGCAGGAGGATTGCTGTGAGTTTGAGGCCAGACTGGGCTACAAAGCGAGACCCTGTCTCAAAAAGCCTAAAACAAAATAAAACAAAACAAAAAATGTAGAATAGGATATTCAGTCAGGTTTGTCCTTAAGTCACCTGGGAACCAACCCTACAACCCAAGAGCGAGATAATTCTGAGGTTCTTACACCTCTGCGTGCGTCCCTCCCCTCCTCTATTCCTGTCTGCCCCACATCCTCTACTCTGCTCCAGGAAGTAATCAGCGTCTTTTTTGTGCCACCGATAAGAAGGGAATACTGAGAACGTTTTCCAGGGTGAAATGAATACAAATTCATCTTGAATACTAATTTGTTATTTTTCCTCTTTTCATACAGCATGGACAGTGGGCAGCTTCCTGCGGCTATGCAATCTTACCTCGGCACCAGCCCCATTAGAAACATGAGATGCTACTCTTTTCAAACCCTCACGCAACCAAGTTTTATGTAATTTCACCCTCAAATAGTCTATTATGCTGATGAAAATAAACCTACTTTTTTCAGCTTCTGAAGATAAAGGTATTTGAACACACCACAACATAATACTTACATTAGAAAATAACTCAGGAAAGAATTAAAACACTATTATTTATAAGGAACTTACCTCATGTAAATTCAGTTCTTTTACTTTCTCTTTTAATATAACCTGTAAAACAAAAGAAAGTATTCTTAGGCCCATTTAAATCTGCAATTTAAAATATTTCTCTTACTCATCAATATTTTTCTTCTATATATATTTCCCTCAATATACATAGATGTTCAATTTTGGAGAACATCTCTCATAATTTGACGCAGAACATTTTAACAACACTTTTGTAACTTCAACAATGATGCACTATTGTGAAAAGCACTTTTAAAATCTTCAAGTAGATTAAAACTTGGGAAATGGTATTAACACATGCCCCCCAGACTAAGTGGTATGTATGGAGACTGACTGTCTGATTCAGTAACACAGCACTGGCCAGTGGGACTGATTAGGCCAATCTTAACTTTGGAAGTTTGCTTATTATACATCAATGTCTTCCGCAAGTTTTAGTTCTATCCAGAGTTATATTAATGCGCTAAAACGTCATCTAGGTTTGTCTCTAACCTGATTCTGGAGTGACCAGATAGCAGTTAAACTGAATGCCAAGTGATAATGAGGCAGAATTCTATCTAAAATTTTTTTCTGAAAAGAAACTTTTCCAGGAGTAAATCTGACTTAATAGAATTATTTTAATCCTAATGTGGGAAAAAACCCCTATTTTCTTTGTGACTTATTTCTTCTAGCAGGTAATTTCATCTATTAAGTGACCACCAAAGCCAATTTTACTCTCCAGTTAGTCTATATACAAACATGTAGGGTGTCACGATTATGGTAGAACCGAGAAAGAAAGATCCATTCACTTAGAAAACTAAGACATTCAACTCTAATTCTGAGTTCCACATGAGACCTATGGGGAAGAGCATGGGGTTAACCAAAAATATCAGTATGTACATTTAGGGACCATGTCAAAGAGCCCCTATTCCAAAGACATAGGGACAAAAGATGGACAGAAAGATATACAATCTTAAAATGGTGACAGGACCCTGTAACATTGATATCAGCAGGATTAAAGACCCAAATAAGCAGAAGCTTCTCCTTTCTTGATCAAAAAAAAAAAGGCAACGAAAAATTAAAATTAAGGAGAATCCAGGCCCACTGTTTGGTGTCAGTGGTAGAATGTTAACAAATGACACATGGAAGAAAAAAAGGCACTTTTACTTGGCCTTCAAGAAAAGCTGCTTAGCCAGGTGAGGTGGCGCAAGCCTGAATCCCCACACTTGGAAGGCTGAGGCAGGAGGATTGCCATGAGTTCAAAGCCAGCCTACACTATGCAGCTGAGATTCTGCCTCAAAAAAAAAAAAAAAAAAGCTGCCTGGGACAGATCAGCAAAGGGCTGGTAAAAGGCTAACAGTCTATGAATGTGTGACCTCAGCTAACATTTCAAGTAAAAAAGGGAGTAGATGAGATCACTGTACCACAGCTGATCATTTCTGAGGAACTGCTATGTCCTTAAATGGAAGTGAGAAAAAATTCACTTAAATGTTAAGAATCTCTAAACTCTTGAAAAATAACTTCAAGGATTATAATACACAGCATTTCTCTTTAGCAAAATGTTGGCTCCAATTGTCTATTATTCTATCATCTAAACTTTTTATTGTTTCAACTAATGCGAATGAAAGAAAAGAATATGTGAGAAAATGAAGTTATCTGTTTTATTTTGCAAATTGGCAGTTGAAATGCTGAAATAAACATTACTAAATCCAGTCCTGGTTTAAAATATGAGTGTAGGGGCTGGGGATTTAGCTCAGCGGCACAGTGCCTGCCTGGCAAGTGCAAGGTTATGAGTTCGGTTCCTGGTACCAGAAAAACAAAACAAAAAAAATAAAATATAAGTGTAGCCCTCTGCCTCCTGTCCATAATGAGATTCCGTTCACAGTGTACCACCATCTGCACCCTGCATGGGCACCCTGCATAGGAGGTGCCTTTACATCTCCCAAGCTGTGAGCTAAGTAAACCTCAGGTAGTTAAAAGAAAAAAAGAGTGGGAATGTTAGTTTTTAAAGTTTTTTTTGGGGAAAATATGATCCAATATGAATTAAATTTCTCACCTGTTTGTAGGCATAAAATTCTTTATGTGCTTGATGTCTTAGCCTAAGAGACAGAAATGAGCAATGTGATATTAAATTCCAGTAACTTGAAAACAATTAAAAACTCGTTTGGGGCATTAATTTATATTAATATTTTGGATTTTAATTGGTCACCCAAATGACGTATCTTTCACTATGTTATGAAAAAGTATCCAATGAACCAAGAAATATTACCTAAATTATAAATTCTTCTGAAATCTCAGTAAAACAAAATCTCAATACAACAAATGTTGTAAAGATGACTCCATTGTTTTTATACTGATGAAGTCTACTCGTTTCAATAATATTTAATAATTTACATTTTTCTTAATTTAAAAAATTAAATATATAAATATAATAAAAATATGGTGACTGCTTAAATTAAAAAAATTATTACAGTAAAAGACAAACTGCCATCAATCCCCCCAAAATACTCTCCTTCTCTCCAAATACTTATCCTATCATTCTTGCCAATGTATCTTTTACACCCTTTGTGATGTACATCTAACAGTAAAGTACAAAATCTTTATGCAGCTCAATAATTTAAAAAATGTATATGCCAGTTTAATTATCACTTATATTAAGATGTAGTACATATCCAGCAGGCCTGAAATCTCTGAGCTGACCCCTCCCCATCAATATCCAGCTTGTAGGTTACCCCTATCCTGACTTCTTATTTTAGATTATGCCTTTTTCTGGACTTCATTAAATGGATCCTTTGGTTTATACTCTGTTTGGCTTCTCAGTCTACAATCCATCACAAGATTGACCCACCGTGTTGTAGTAATTCAACTGACATAGTATTCCATTATATAATACAATTTATCCATTCTACTGTTGAAGTTGCTATACAAATTCTGTATGGACACATTCTTACTAGACACACAGATTAATTTCTCTTGAGGACATAAGTAAAATTGCTAGTCCAAAGTGCCTTACCTCCTATGGGTAGTTATTGAAAAAAATGTAGCAGGTTTAGTTTAATTTTTTTTTTTTTTTTTTTGAGACAGGATCTTGCTATGGCCTTGTACTCGAGGCAATCCTCCTGCCTCAGCCTCCTGAGTGCTGGGATTACAGGTGTGCGCCACTATGCCTGGCTTAGTTTCTAAACATTTAAATGTAGTCCAATTTATCAACTTTCTCTAATTAGATTAGTCCTTTTGAATGCACCTAAAAGAATGTCTGCCTAACCAGGGTGTGTTATGAAAACAATTTGTTATTTACCTACCATTTTAGATCTGTGATCCATCCGAAGCTGGACTTTATATACACTGTGAGGTAGGAGTCTAGATTCTTTTTATCCCTGCACAGATTTTTTTTTTTCCAGTACTAGGGCTTGAACCCAAGGCCTTCCCACTGAGCTATATCTCCAACCCTTTTATTTCATATATTTGAGTCAGGGCCTTGCTCAATCGCCCAAAGCAGGGTTGAACTTTTGATTGTCCTGCCTCAGCCTCGCAGAGTGCCCAGCTTATCCCTATGCAGATTTTCACTTGCTCACTGTCATTTATTAAAGACCCTCCTTTCCCCTCTGCATTGGTCTACTGTAAACCAGATGTAGCCAGTGTGTGATACTGTTTCTAGAGTTTCTGTTCTGCTCCACTGGCCCATTTAACTATCTTTGCACACTAGTTTGAAGTGTCCCTCAAAAAAATTCATGTCCAGTTAGAATCTCAGAATGTAAAATTATTTGGAAATAGGGTCTTCCAGATTATTATTTAGTTAAGATGAAGCCGAACTGGATTAGGCTGGACCTCCACGCTGACTGAACTGATGTTCTAAGAAGTGGGGACAAAGGCAGGAAAAAAGGCCGCATGATCACAGAAGCAGCCATAAACTAAAGGATGCTGTGATGAGCAGAAGCTAGGGTGGGACTTCAGGGAATATGGCCCCGCCAATTCGGTTTTGGTTTATTTTGTTTTCTTTTTCGAGAGTCTTGCTATGCAGTCCAGGCTGGCTTTGAATTCATAATCCTGCCTCAGCCTCCCACATGCTAGGGTTAGAGTGTGACACCATGCCCATCTCCTGCCAACACTTGTGTGTTTGAACTTTCAGCCCCAAGAAAGAGCTGTCTCCCTGGCTCAGTGTGGACTTGCAGATATTTCAGTCTTACTCATCATGATCACTATTTGTTGCTCACATTGACTTAGGGTTGGCCTTTAAGAGACCTTTCAGGTTGACGCCCTGTCCTCTTATGTCCCCATCCTTTGTATTTCCTTAAACTGACACCAAAACATCTTACAGGCTCATTTTGTACTTCTGTGCCAATCCTGGAATTCCCTACTTCTTCCAAGAAACACCAATACCTTTCATTGGAGAAGAGTGTTCAGAAGCTGAGATCTAGGCACTTGGTGAATACTACTCTGTTTAAATCACTATAGCTTTTAACATGTCTTGGGGTCTGGTAGTAAAAGTCTTCAAGTTTTGCTCTTAATGACTTGCTTGACTATTCTTTGTCCTGCATTTCCATATACATTTCATAAGCTTGTCAATTTCCTCAAAAATAACCTGCTGAGTTTTATGTGGGGTTTATAGATCAACTGGAAAGAACTGACATCTAAGATAGAGTCCAATCTATGGATATAATGTATTTATTTACATCTTAATCATCTTTTATATTCCTCCTAGGAATGTGGTAATTTTGATTTCACTATAAACAGTATTTAAATTTAAAAATTTTCTGATCATTTCTTGCTATTATGCAAAAAAAAGCAATCCCTGCATATGATTCCTGTATTTAATGTCTTGCTAATAATTCACTTATTGTAAATAGTTTACTGTGCAATCTTTTTTTTCTCCCCTTGGGTGGTACTAGGGATTGAACCCAGGGAGGAGTGATATATTCCAAACCCTTTCATTGTCTTAAATGTTGAGACAAGGTCTTGCCCATATTGCCCAGGCTGGTCTTGAACTTGCCATTCTCCTATTTCAACCTCCTGAGAACCTACGATTACAGGCAGGCACCACTATACCTAGCAATTTTTAAATGTTAAAATGTCATGGAACAAATCCTATTTGATTGTGATGTAGTACCTTTTTTGTAGATCTCTGAACCTGATTCACTAGTATTTTGTTCAAGGGAAAGACTGGGCTATAATTTCCTTTCTTGTAATGTCCTTTTCAGGCTTTAGAAATAAAATCATGCTGATCTCATGTGTGTTGTAAAGGATTTCCCCCCTTTCTGCTGACAGAAGAGTGATGTAAGTGTAGAATTTTTGTCTTGTTTGGAGGAACTCACTGGCAAAGCTACTTAGATTGCTTCCTTTGTGGGAATGCATGAACACATTAAATTTTTAATTAGATACAATTATTAAATTTTATATTCCTATGTCATCACTTAAAATTTTTTATTTTTATTTTTGATCAATTACAACTGGGCATCTTATACAAGTCAACAATAGTGTAACCACAACGTTGTACAACCAGTGGCTAATTTCAAAACTTTTTCATCATCCCTAAAGAAACCTGGTACCTGTTAATGAACCATGCTTCCCTTATCCTCCTTCTTCCCATCTCCTGGTGGATTTACATGTAATTGTATTGTCTAAAAAGAATCATAACAGTATGTGACCTTTTGTTTGGCTTCTGATTGAGCATAATTGTTTCTGAGTTTATACTTGTTACAGTATGTATCATGACTTTATTCTTTTTTATGGCTATATAATATTCAATTACACATCTCATTGTATGTATATAATTTGTTTATTCACCTGATGATGGACGTTTGTTTTTTATACTTTTTCTGTATGAATAATGTGGTTATAAACATTCCTGTACAAATTTTTCTGGAATTCTCTTTCCCTTTATCTTGGATATATACTAAGGAGTAAGAGCACAGGGTCATATGATAACTGTGTAGTTAAAGAATCTTCTCTTTTCCAGAGCAGCAATATTTTATATTGTATCAGTAATGTATAAAGGGTTCCCATCTTTTCACATGGTCACCAATGCTTGTTATTTTTTATACTTTTGATTATAGCATCCTGTAAGTATGAAGTAATATCTCACTGTGGTTTGAACTTGCATTGTCTAAATGATCAGTATGTCAGACATTTTTTCATGTGTTGGTTGGCCATTTGTGTCTATAGAGAATTCTTTAAGTTGTTTGCCTACTTTTTAAAAGAGTTTTTGTTCTGGGGACTGAACTCAGGGCAGTGTGCATGCTAGGCAAGTGCTTTATGTTCTGCTACTGAGCTATGTCCTTAGCCTTTTTTGCCTACTATTTAATTGAGTTGTCCTTTTGTTGAATTGCAGGAATATATTATGAATATTAAACTCTTATGAGATATATGATTTACAAATATTTTTCTTCCATTACGAAGGCTGCCTCTTTTTTTGGTGCTGGGGGTTGAACCCAGGGCCTCACACATAGCAAGCTGGTGAGCTATACCCCAGGCCTTCATATTATTGATGTTCTTTTGGTACATAAATATTTTAATTTTTTAAAAAGATGATGTCTCACTATTTCATTGAGGCTGGCCTTGAACTCCTGGACTCAACTGGTCTTTATGTTTCACCTTCCAAACTGCTGAGACTAAAGGCATGTGCCATTTCTTCTATTTAAGAGTTTTATACTTTTTTTTTTTTTTTTTTTTTTTATTTTTGAGACAGGGTCTTATTATGCAGTTCAGGCTGCACTGAGCTCACTTTGTAGCCCAGGCTGGTCTCAAACTCACAACAATCCTCCTGCCTCAGCCTCCCGCGTGCTGGGACTACAGGCATGTACCACCTCGCCCGGCTTATAATTCTGACTCAATGTTTAGGTCATTGGTCCATTCTGAGCTAATTTTTGTATTATTATGTGAGAGAGAGGGCCAACTATATTTCTTTTACATGTGAATATCTGACTGTTTTGGTACCACTGGTTGCACCAATTATTTTCCTACTGAACAATTTTGGTATCTTTGTTGAGTATCAGTTGGCCATAAGTGTTTGTGTTTATTTTTGAATACTCTCAATTCTGATCCTTTGGTTTATATTTCTGTCATTTTGTCAGTACCACAATGCTTTGATTAGTATAGCTTTATAGTGCAGCTTTGAAATCAGGACATATGAATCCTATTTTTTCTTTTTCAATATTGTTTTGGCTATTTGGGCCTCTTTACAGTACCAAATGAATATGAGTTGGTTTTTCCACTTTTGGAAAAAAATATAATTAGAATTTGACAGGAATTTCATTAACCATTAGATTGCCGCAAAGATTACTACCATTTCAAAAACATTGTCTTTCAACCCATGAACATGAGATGTCTTTCCATTTACTCTATTTAGTCTTCAATTTCTTTCAGCAATATTTTGTTGTTTTCTGGATATAAGCCTTTCATTTCCATGGTTAGCTTTATTCTTAGGAATTTTATTGTTTTGGGTGCTACTGTAAATGGACTTGTTTCTTTATGTCCTTTCCAGATTGTTCATTGTTGGTGTACAGATACAATTAGTTTTTGTGTTGATCTCTGTTTGTTTGTTTCTTTTTTGAGACAGGCTCTCCCTGTGCAATACAGGCTGGTCTTGAACTCACTTACGTAGCCCAGGCTGGCCTCGAACTCAAAGTGAGCCTCTTGCCTCAGTCTGTCTAGTTCTGGGATTACAGGTGTGAACCACCACACATGGCCCATGTGTGTTGATTTTGTATTCTGAAAGTCTGCTGAATTTATTAGCTCTGGTAGGGTTTTAAAATTTTTTTTTAGAATTTTGTAGAATTTTATTTATTTGTTTGTATTCTGGTACTAGAGATTGAACCCAGGGCCTTGCACACAATGAGCATAAATTCTACACTGAATCCTCCACGGACTTTAAACAAAAACTGTAACAACAAGAAACAAAAGCTCCTCCTTCCTACCCAAGATTTTCTACACACAGAATCATGTTATCTGCAAATAAATAGTTTTACTTCTTTCCACTTGTATGCCTTCTATTTCTTTTTCTTGTTTAATTTTTCTGGCTAGGACTTCTAGTATAATGTTAAATAACCGAAGTAAAGCAAATATACTGGTTGTGTTCCTGATCTTAGTCTTTCACTAACTATGTTGTTGAGTATGATATTGGCTGTGTTTTTTTCATCAGTGCCCTTTGTGATGTCAGTTTTGATGTTCTGCATTTTTTTTCTAAGAATCTATGTAATTCATCTAAAATTTCCAATATGTTGGCATAGATATATAATATTCTTTGTGATCCTTTAATGTTTGCAGAATTTGTGCTATTAGTGATCTATTTTCCCCCTATTTTTCCTGATTAGTTTTTCTAAAGATTCATCTATTTTATTAATTTCACCAAACAGCTAGATTTAGGTTTCAATGATTTTCTCTTATATATATATATTTTTTTCTTTTTTCTACTTCATTTATTTTTGTGATTACCTTTTTTATTTCCTTTCTTCTATTTTCTTGTGCGTGCATGTGCATGCGTGCGTGCATGCGTGCGTGTGTGTGTGTGTGTGTGTGTGTGTGTGTGTTCAGCACCATGAAAGAAAAATTTAGATCACTGGTTTTCAGTATTTTGGGTTTGGTACCTGAGTTTAAAATTATAAGATTTTCTTTTTAGGTCAAACTTATCATGTAGTTTATACACTCTACATGGTTATTCTTCCTGGTTTTTGTCTGCTTGTTTTACTAAAAGAACACAATACATTTTCATATAAAGAAGTAAGATGTACTCCATTAGAATTAATAAGATGAGGTCTCATTTGTAACTTCCTCTTGCTCATTTGAATCTTTCAACTTGATTTGCATATTTTCCGAAAGTCGAACTTGTTACTTCTAGCCACAGAAGGAATCAATTGTGCTCACCATTTTTCTTTCAATTTCTGGCTAAAAATCCAACCCTTCTAGGAAATTCTCTATTAAATTGATGCCACTTTGCTGTTACTCCTTTAGGTCATACAAATTAATATTTTAGATTGCACTTTTTAATTTTGCACTGCTAAATAAATGTTTTTAAAAGTATCGCAGAGAATATGATAAACAGTGTAGAACAGTGCTGAAGAAAATGATAAAATGATCTGGCTTTTGATGACTACAAATTTGTGGTCTCCATGCTCAGCCTCACATTCTTGTTGCTCTCTAATTCTTCTGTCTGCTCATGCCCAGAATGCATTTCCATGCAGTGGTTGTTTCAAATCCCTGCTATTCTCTTCACATTTTCCCCTACTACACCTTCCCATCATTCAAGTGTCAATTTTCTATTCCCCTGAGAAAGAATGAGGGTTGCCAGACACACAAGCTTCCTCACTCCCAGTCCCAGACTCACACAAGTAATTGTCTTAGGAGAAGGTTCTCCTGCTTAGTACTAATATTGCTGTATCTCTTTGTATGTCTCTTTTTAATCTTCATGATTTATTCTTCCTCACGGATCCTCCATAACTGGCTCATTCTATTATGCTGATAAATATGTACAAGAATCTACCATAAAAAAAAGAGACATCAGAATACTTCCTTGATTTCTCAGCAACTGCCTTTCCCCCAACCTTATCCTTCCTCAGCCAAAGTTCTTCAAGGAGGTCAAAATTTCTCGTATCCATTTCATCTGCTAGTCAGGCTTTGTCCCACAATAGTTTGCCTGCCTTTACCTCTCTACCCCATGCTACTCAGCTTTTTATAACAAACAGTATGAATACAAACTTAATTGCCAAATGTAATAGGAACTTTTCAAATCTTACCAAACATCCTTGGGAGCAGATGACACAACTGACACTATTGAAATGGTACTTGCAGGGTACCTATCTTGTGATTTTCCTTCAATTTCCTGCTATTTCTTCCTAGAATCTTTTGCTTTTTGGTTGTTGTTTTGTTTTGAGGCAGGGTTTCGCTATGTAATCCTGGCTGGCCTTGAACTCACTATGTAGCCCACACTGGCCTTAAACTCCTGGCTCAATCCTCCTGCCTCAGCCTCCTGACAGCTAGGATTACAGGCATGTGCCATCAGATTTGGCACTTCCCAAAATCTTTTGTGGGATCCTCTTAAATATCAGTATTTTCCTAGGATTCTGTCCTGGACCCTTTTCATTTCATTATTATATAACCTCTCTATTTCTAGACTTGGCTTTTCATAAGTTTTAGACCTATATATTTAACCAACTGACCAAACCTAAAAACTATAAGCAGCCAGTATATCTATAAGATATGAGGTATAATTACATTTCGTGAGAACTTTCAGAAAACATTCACTTTTCTTGAATGTAAATGTCAGAATATCAGAGAATACACACTAACTTTGCTTATATTTGACCATTAGGGTAAACATCCCAAAACACTACTAGCAATAATGAATAATTACTGAAAGACATCAGATGATGATATTTATTTTAATGATAATCACATATTGTACAAATACTAAAAACTATTAGCTATATAGCTGTTTAATAAAATTCAATTTTCTACTCTTTTACCACAAAAACGTCTTTGAAGAAAATACCATTTAAATATTTTATAGTCTCACTTTTGGCTTTGAAAATTAGGTCCTATTTAAAAACTGAAAAAACAAAAATGTTTAAATAACTATGAGAAAATCAGCCATGAATCTTTTCTGGCCAAATCTACTACTCAGGTGAGGTGTTACCTGTTGTTGTCTCTACATGTACTATTGGTCATGTAGAATATTCAGTATTTTACGCAGATAATTAATCACTTGAACATCTAACTAGTTTGACAACAAACAGAAACTTAAAGTCCTACAAGAGAAGCTTTCTAAAGGTACAGATCTTGTCTTGGACATTGTTTTTTAATCCCTAATGACTTCAATGTAACTCCTTCTTGAGAAGCAATTTGAAATCCCTGTGAAAGTAGATTAAATCTTGGGGACAGACAATGACATGAATGCATCTGCTAATGTGGTGGAAAAATTAATAAGGACAATGTTTTCCTACAGAGTAAAACACCTCATCAACAGATAGGACTCAAGACTGTATTAAGGTATGTTACTGATTACAGTAGATTAAAATGTCAAACCACATTAACTTTTAGAAAATTTGTCCATTGTCACACTTATAGATTGTTTTAAATGAGGGCAGAATTTCCTTGTTTAACATATTTTGAAGTAACATAAGATGAAAACTGATTACCTAATCAAGTAGCAACAGAAGAGTAAACTAAGAATGAAGACAAATATAGCAGTGCCAAAAACCACAATATATATGTTGAGAGGCAGATTCTGGAATCCAATATTAGGCATCCTGAAGTTGTAGTGTGGGAAATCCGAGCTCATGGATGAACTATGGGGGAAGAAAACAATGGAAAAAAATTAGGCATAAAAATTAAGAAGCAAAACAGCATTATACATTTATTTTTTTCTTTTTTGGTATTTCTGAGACAAAACTCGCTATGTAGCCCAAACTGGCCTCAAACCTGTGATCTTCCTGCCTCAGCCTCCCGAATGCTAGGATTACAGCCCAGCAAAGGCAAAAGTTTTCTAATGCTTGACCTCATTTGAAACAAATAATGATTGACAAAGTGTTAATATTCTTGCCATTCATTCATTCATCCATCATACCAAATAGTTATTTAAGTGCTTATTACATACCTGTCATTATTCTAGAGACTGGAGGTACTGCATAAAAAGTTTTTCAAATTGCATTCCTTCATTAAAAGGTATTTCACTGAGATAATGGCAGTAATTAATATACATGCAAATGTTCAATCTCAAGGTTCAAGAAGAAACAAAAGTTTTTAAAGATTTTTCAAACTCTTTCATTTAAATCAATTTTTAAAGTAGCAATATTTATAGTGGTAAAAATATTTAAAATAACGGATATTTAACAAAGAGATGCTTAAATAATTACATAGTAGTATATGTTACAATATTATGAGGTGACGAAAACTTATGTTTTAAGTAAGTTTTAATGTCAAATAAAAAGACACCTGGGAAAAATGAAATAGGATACCATTGCACATAAAATATAAAACTAATTTTGTAAATATGTATGTACACATGTATGTACTGGCAGAAAAACCCTGAAAGCCAACATATCAAAATGCTAACAGTGGCTTGTGGGTTAGGAGTCATTTTTATTTTCTTATTTTTTTCAAATCCTTTTATTAAATCAGGCCCTATTTAAAAATTTTACTAGCATTACTTTACTTAGTCCTCACAAATTTCTATGGTAGGTACTGTAATTTCTTCCCATGTTACAGATAAGGAAACTAAAGCTGACAAGAGTTTCAGTTACCCGCCACAGCCAGCCTACGTATGGGAGCTGGGGCCTCTCTAACTCCAAAACCACTGCTCTCAGCCTATATGCGCTGTTGCCTTTCTCACGTTCCTTTTTTTTGTTTTGTTTTGTTTTTCTTCTGGTACCAGGGATCGAACTCACGACATTGTGCTTGCCAGGCAGGCGCTGTGCGACTGAGCTAAATCCCCAGCCCCTCTCACGTTACTTTTATAACCAGAAAACAGCAAATGTTTAAACACTGAAAAGAGGATCATTTATGCTGATTTGTTTGGTAGTATTTACTGGTTACTACACAGACTGCCTCCTCCAGTGATGAGGTACACTGATAAAGTGACTCATCACATCTTTTCACTAGACTCTCCTTGTCATTTTGAGTCCTTACAAAATAAAGAGCTCTTGCCAGATCTGTTCATTAAGACCAAAGATTCTTAACTAAACATAACCATGACTCCTCCAAAATCAAAACAAAATCAACCTTATCAAGCAAGTAAATCTTTTATTTATGGATGGAAACAGAAGTTTTCCACAGATCTTTAGTATCCTTGTTCATTGCCTGAAGAGTATATTTACACTACTGACATAATTAGATGCTGACTGACCGTACGTGAAACCTAAGTCTTATCATTTTTTTATTCTTATCAATTTAATTTCCAGCCTCTAATAACTTATACCAGGAAGTTAACAAAGTTGCAAAGAGCAACTTCATTGCATGGAATCTATTCTCTGAGAACCGTCAAACATAAATAACGGGTAATATTTATTTTTGAATTTTTGTCATTTTGGCTTGGTTAAAGCAAGTGCTTTCTTTCTTTCTTCCTTCCCCTTCCTTCCTTCCTTTCTTTTGGGAACCGGGAATCAAACTCAGGACCTTGCACTTGCCAGGCAGGCGCCTGTGTCACTGAGCGATATCCCCGGCCATAAAGCAAGTGCTTTAGTTAACGACAGAATTTCCTTTTACCTACTCTCAGATCTTAGGAAGGGAAGAAGGATGGAGTTAAAAAGTACTTTAGCAAATACACAGAGTACATATGCTGCAGAATTACACAGACAGCTATATGAAGCTTAGCTGTTCACCTTCATGTTGCTGACAGGGCCTCACATGATGACCCTTGCAACAGCTAAGACTTAGATGACTGTCCTTCAATCCCTAAGGAATGTCCTGTCCAGAAAAACTGGGCTTGATAAAATACCTCTCAGCCTACAGAGAGATTAAACATCTATGCTAGGTGGGCTAACAGAGGAAACAGGGAAACAGGCAGGTGGACAAAGGGACAGGTTTAGTCAACAAATCTGGATACCTGTTTCCAGGATGTCACTAGCTAAATGTCAGTACCTGTCTGAACTGTACCTCAACATTCTCACCTTTCAATAGGAAATGCCAGTCTTATTGATTTGAAAGAATTCCTGGAAGGATAAGATGACACAGTAGAAATCAGAGTCTAATACATGTAGTAAATTTTTTTTTTTTTTAAGATAGGGTCCCACAATGTATTTTAGGCTAGTCTTGAACTCACTATGTAGCCCATGCTGGCCTCTGGCTTGCAGTCATCCTTCCTGAGTGCTGGGTTACAGGCGCATGCCACCATGCCTGGCTAATAAAATTTTTTGTCTTAGAATCTTTTTTTTCCTGATAATAGTAGTATAGCCATTGTATGACATATCTTTTCCTGTCATTTTAAGTCTTAAAATCTAAACTGTCTCTTTGACAGTACAGAGATGGATTTTTTTTTAATTCCAGTTGGCCAATCTCTACCTTTTAATTGGAGTGTTTAAGCATATTCAGTATTCCTACTGGTATGGTTGGACTGATGTACCATTTTGCTAATTGTTTTCTATATATCTTGTCCTTTTTTCTGACTTTTAAAGAATTAGGTAGAGGGGCTGGGGATTTAGCTCAGCGGCACAGTGCCTGCCTGGCAAGTGCAAGGTCATGAGTTTGATTCCTGGTACTGGAAAAAAACAAAACAAAAAAATTAGATATTATATAGTGTACCGTTTTAATTTTTTGAATTTTAAAACATTCTTTCTAAATGAAATTTTATTAAGATAATTATAGATTCATTTAGCATGGTGATACCATGCCTATAGTCCCAGCACTTGGGAGGCTGAGGCAGAAGAATCAAAAATTTTAGGCCAGCCTAAGCTACACACTGAGAACCTATCTCAACAAACAAACCAACCAACAGACTCCACCGCCCCCAAGGCAAACACACACACACAAACACCAAAAGGTTATTATAGATTCACAGGAAGTTGTAATATACGTCTGCCATAAATGTATATACACTTTAGGAAAGGAAAAATAGTATGATGTTTCTTTAACAGATGGCATTCTCCTCTTATGGGGGTCCCTAGAGGATGTTGTACATTGCAGAAAACCCAATACACAGCCGGCCCTTAGAGAAGAAACTGAAAAATGCATGTGCAGCAATCTCAGTGAACTAAGGTTGCCCAAGCAGCAGTTTGCTGTACTAATAAATGTCTGGAAGCTAACAGCCACCATTTTGAACACCTCTTATGATTGTAGAGTCAAAGGTAATGTGTATTAATCTCATGATATCTCAATAAATTTAGTTTTACAGTATTTATACAAGTTTTTCTTTTCCTGAAGTGTGTGTGCCACTTTTTTTTGCAGACTCTGTAAAACACAAAAAGGCCAGGTCTGGTGGTGCATACCTATAATCCTAGTTACCTGGAAGGTCAAGGTAGGATGATATCAAGTTCAAGTCCAGCCTGGGCAACTTAGCAAGACCCTACCTCAATATAAAATAAAAAGGTTTGGGGATGTAGCTCAGTGGTAGATTGCTTGCCTAGAGTGTGTGAGGCTCTGGGTTCAATTCCCAGCACTACTAAATAAATAAATAAATAAATATACTTTGCCCAGTTTCTTCTGATGGTTAACAATTTACCATATGATACCACAACTATGTATTATTTATATATAACCCTAACATTATACTGCAAACAGCTATTTTGTTTGATAGAACTTATCAACCTTACTTAGATTTCTCTGCTTTTGCATGTACTAATTTGCCCTATGTATTTGTCATAATAGTTAAGATACTGAACAGTTCCAACGCTATGAGGATCCCTAGTGTCACTTTTTTATAACCAAATACATGTCTACCTTTCACCTTTACTTTCACTATCACCCTTGGCACCTAACTTCTGGCAACAACCAATCTTATCTTCTATTTCTGAAGTTCAGTCATTTCAAAAATGATATATAAGTGAAATCATAAAGTATATAATTTCCTGGAGTTTGCTTTTTTTACTCAGCATAATTTTCTGCCTATTAACCCAAGCTGTTGTGTATATCAACAGTTACTTTTGCTAAGCAGTATTCCATAGTATGAATATACCAGTTTGTTTAACCGTTCATCTCTTGGGGGACATGTTGGTTGTTTCCAACTTTTGGCTATTACATTTAATAAAGCTGCTATGAACACTCAGGTTATAGGTTTTTGTGCAAACGTAAGTTTTCATTCCTATGTGAAAAATGTTCAAGAGTGCTTTGATTTTAAAACTATAACATTTTTTAATTCTTAGTGGTTATTCCAGAGATTACAATATTATGTTATCAAGATACACTTTAGAATAATGCTAATTTAATTCCAGTAAAACAAACTTTGCTCCACTATAGATCCACTTCCCCCTCTTCTGTGATATCATATATATTATATTCTATATATTTATAAACCCAACAATAGTGTCATAATTACTGCCCTGTAATGTCATCTAATTATTATTTAAAAAGAGATATATTTACAGAATCTTCTATATTCCCCTACTACATATTTACTGTTTCTAGTCTTTTTCATTTCCACCTGTGGATTTGATTAGCATCTGGTATTAGTACTCATTTTTTTACCCCAGTGTAATGCCCCTCCGTTTCCTCTTCTTTGGTAGTGCTACTGTCATATAGACTGCATTGTCACATGAAAAGGCCACAGAAAAGGCCAAGTAGTATAAGCTCAATGATATATTTTTATAATTACTGTTCTATGCAACTGTCTCATACACTTGGAAATAATTTAATAGCA